CACAGTAACCCTGCCTCCTGCAGCTCTGCCCCGGTGAGGAGCTCCTCCTGTTCAGTAACAGTCACACACAGTAACCCTGCCTCTTGCAGCTCTGCCCTGGTGAGGTGCTCGTCCTGAGGTGCTCGTCCTGTTCGGTTACAGTCACAGACAGTTACGTAGTATCTAATGTAAACTTTTCTTATGCTTTTTTTCTGTACCCTGCTTGAAAGATTTTAAATGGTTAGTCTTTTCTAATTATAGTTTTGCCAAATCTTCCAGATATGGTTGAAAGAGACTTAGGTTGAACTGCTTCTACAATTTGTTCACTTCGTAGCATATCGGGCCTGCTTTTTGTTGACTCATGGTTAAAATTCAGCATTAACTCATTGTATTGGGTATCATAGAACTTAAAAATTGTCTTAGACCTTAACGTACTTCTGCCTAGCTAAGACACTTCAAACGAGTCATTTACCTCCTTGTTTCTCCAGTTTCTCATTCCAAAAAAAAAAACTTTCTGTCGAGTCAGTTCTGATTCACAGCAACCCCAGGTGTTTCCGAGTAGAACTGTGTTCCCTAGTGTCCTTAATGGCTGGGATCTTACGGAAGTGGATCACCAGGCCTCTCTTCCACGATGCCATCGCATGAATTGTCCACCTTTTGGTTAGCAGTTAAAGGTAAACCTTTTATGCCACCCAGGGACCCGGTGTTCTTATTAGGGGGGTGATAATGGAAAAAAAAAAAATTGAGAAACACTGCCGTACCATGAGTTGCCCAGGGTCACCAGCAGCTGGTCAGCCGTGGGCTTGGGTGAGAAGTCGGCTCTTCGGGCCCCTCAGCCAGCATTCTCTCTGCCGCCCTCTTCAGCTTCCTTCCCTTTACTTTTCTGGGCTGAATTGTTCAAATCTGTCTTCTCCGAGGGTTGAATTAGATTGGTATGTTTTCGAACTGTAGTTTGAACAGAATTTTCAAAATTGTTATTTATTATTGTCTCTGAATCTGTCATCATACGCCAGACTCAGGAGTGACGACGGTCCAGAGGCTTCTGGAGGTTAAGTGACTTGTTCAAGGACACAGCACAAGAGGAGAAAAGCCAGAATTATAAGTACTGATTTCTAGATTAGTTTTCTTTCCACTTACTAAGTCACTTTGATAGTTGGCTCAAGATATCACTAAGGTCATGTCTGGACTTGGTTTCAATTTTTTAAAAATTCAGGTTTCTTCTGAAAGCAAAATGACTGCTCTTTCCTATCCTGTTTTATTATAATTCCGTTTGGGTTTATTTTATAGGAGATGGACTGGGAAGCAAAGAAGCATGAAGTACACAACTACCACAGGTACTGACAGTCTGTCGGATCGTTTCACTTTGATTCAGGTTGTGAACTAAGAAAGAATGTGTCATCCCTTCATTTGTGCATAATAGGATTTATTCTGAGCTTTGATGTTTTTGGTTTTCATAATAATCCTAGTAAGGAATGAATCATGGTTTTCCCTTCTTTTAGAATAATAATTGAAAACATTTTGTGTCTATGTTGTTATTTCCATGCGTTTGACCATCTTTAGTATGACTAATTTGGAAAAAGCTGTTGTTATTAGGTGCTGTCGAGTTGATTTTCAACTCATAGCGACCCCACATAACAGAGTAAAACTGCCCAACAGAGTTTTCTGGGCTGTAATCTTTACGGGAGCACATCTCCCAGGGAGCTGCTGGGGTGGGTTCGAATTCCCAACCTGTTGGTTGACAGCTGAGTGCTTAACCGTTGCACCACCAGAGCTTCTTGGAAAAATAACTACAGTGGTCTAAATCAATGCCTTTAAAACTGTTCTTTTAAGTAGCAGAATGTTTTTTTCTGATAACATTTTACATGGATGTCCCAGTTATATGAAGCATGTAGATGTGTGACTCCTGGTTGACTGAGTGTAGCCCCTCCCTCACCGACACACATACCTTATCCCAGCAGCTCTGTAGCAACTCTTGGTCTCTCTATAGATTCCCACTGAAAAACACTCTTTTCAGTTATATGGAACCTTATATTTTTGAGAAGAGGTGACTTTGTTATAGTCTGCCAGAGAACGTTTGTTTTGTGTTGATGATCAAAGGCTTTGTGTGTGTTAATGCAGTAGCATAGCATTATGGCATTTGGTGTCAGAGAACATCATTTATTTTGCAAGAGAACCACACATCCCTGTGGACATGGGGCTAGAGGCAGTGTACAAATGAGTCAGAGCTCTAGTCCCTGCATGAGGCTCACCTGGGGTCATGTCCTGGACCCACCAACCCACCACTTTTGGCTATATAATTTCAGCCTTAGATTCTCCATCTTTAAAATTGAGATAATAAGAGTAGTATCCGCTTCGTGGGATTATTGTGAAGACTTAAGTCCATGTTGAGTCTTTAGCACAGGACCTGGGGCATAGAAAAAACAGACAAACAAAAAAAAAAACTCATTGCCATCAAGTCAATTCCAACGATAGCAACCCTGTAGGTTAGGGTAGAACTGCCCTACGGGGTCTCCAAGACTATAAATCTTTGTGAAAGCAGACTGCTGCATCTTTCTTCTGCAGAGCAGTTGGTGGATTTGAACTGCTGACCTTTTGGTTAGTAGCTGAGTGATTTACCCACTGCACCACCAGGGCTCCTTTGGGGCATAGAAAGTACCTATTAAATACCGTATGAGTTATTGAACTATGTAAGTGTGATGTTCTGGGCTGTTATAATTTGCTCTTTGGCAAGCATGAACCTGTGACATAACAAAGCACCTTTAATGGGGCTTTGATGGCTCTTTTATTTTAAGTGGAAAATCCTGAGAATTGTAAGAGGTTATGTTAATAAGGTATCTTGAATTTCGGTGAGGAGAAATTAAATACAGTACTTAATGTTAATTAGAACTGTAGTTTTGGGCTCCATTGTGGCGATTTACCAAAACAAATGTTTATAAACTGGTTAATGTCCTAGACTATTTGAGCCTCATCCATTGCTCCTAGTAACATTTGTGTATGGTTTTCCTGGTGTTTTAAACAGGAAGAAGCATTACCAAGGTCCTCATTGCAAACAGAGGAGAGATTGCCTGCAGGGTGATGCGAACAGCCCGAAAAATGGGTATCCAGTCAGTGGCTGTTTACAGTGAGGCTGACAGGAACTCCATCCACGTAGACATGGTATGTTGCTGAGGATAGAGGTCCAGGTTTGGAAGCGATTATTTGTTTATTGTGTCAATATTCTTTAGAGTGACAGAGTCTGTTCGTTAGTGTTAACATTGTTTAAGTAGGTAGGTTAAAACTACTTACTGATAATTCCTCTTGGGGATGTTTCCCAGTTATACTAGCTGTTGAACTAACAGTGTGCTTAGTGAGTAGCTGATTTACAGGCAGAGCCCTTATTGCATCGGGCTTAGTTAAAGCAGTTCACAGATGTGGCTGATCCACAGACTGAGTAGCACACGTCCAGATCCCTGCTGTGCAAGGAGAGAGAGCAGGATCCGAGTCTTAGCAGCTACCGCTTACTGGCCAAGTGGTCTCAGGCAAGTAGCTTAAAGTTTCTGAGCCTTGGCTTGTCTGTACAATTGTAACTTAAAAAACCCTACTCTCCTGAGGTCTGTGAATGTTTTTGATTATTACTACAGCCACTCCTCACTTATTGACATGGTTAGGTTCCAGAGACCAGGTTGGAAGGCAAAAATGGGTGTTGCACGAAAGTGGAGGGTGACCACATCAGATCCCAAAGTATTATGTGGGAAACATATGTCCCTCTGGACCCGAGAGGTGGAAAGTGTGGGTGGGTGCTTTATGTCCTGCTGGTCATGAAAGGGTTGTTGCCAGATGTATGCCGTTAATGTGCAAAATAGTCAGATAGTAGATTTTTTACTGTTGTCATAAATGCAAAATGTCAGATAACGAGATAGTCGATAAGTGAAGAGTAGATGTAGCTATTATCCACCAGACAGAACTCCAGCCGTGGATGAAGGCAACTATTGATACTCTCTATGCCTGCAGCAAGACTGCAAGCACCAAGGTAAATCTGTGGGGACCAACTTCCTGGGATTTTGGCCCATGTGGCTCTCTAGCCACTTCTTTCTCGTCCTGTGCAATGACTATCTCAAACCTGTTTTGCTCCATTCAACCCACTGACTCCCCCTCTGCCTACCTTATTCTCAGTAGATGATCTTGAATTGATGGAGAGAATAAAACTGTATAAACTTCCTACCACAGAATCTGCTGACCCACCTGCTTCTGTATCCATCCTCTTCCCATCTAAGGCCAGTCTGTCTGTGCTCTGGATTCTTTCTCCCACCTTCTTAAGACTCTTCCACTTAAGTGAGCTGTCTTCAGTCTCTCCTCCACTAGACCCTTCCTGAAAGCATCTAGGTATGCCTTAGGAGTCTCTCCCAGATTCACAACCATTGCCAGCCCCACTTTCCCCGTTTCCCATCCCCTCTCTCTTTCTTTTCCCACTTACAGCCAACTTAAGAATCATTTGCCCTGTTGTTTCTTCTTCCTTACCTCCTGTTCTCTTTGCCACCAACTCCTGACAAGCTTCTGTCCTCACCCTTCCCTTGACATTGTTTCTGCGAAGGTCACTAATTCCATCCATGTCCCTAAATCCAGTGGGGTCTTTTCAGCCCTCAGCCAACGTGATCTCTCAGCGCCGTAGCAGACCACTCCTTCCTTTTAGAAATAAATTCTTCATGACCTCTGACCCTTCTAGACTCTCTTTCTGTGTCCTTTTTCTGGATCCTACCAGACCCTTAAATGTTGATGTTCCTCAAGACTTGGTCCCTGGCCACCTTCTTTTCTCACTGTATACTCTCAGTGTAGATTATTTCATCTACTCCTAGGGCTTTGCTAAAAACTCTCAAATTTCTATTTCTAGCCCAGACTTCCTTTTGCGCATGATGCATGTATGTCCTACTGCCTACTCAGCATCTCCACTTGGGCGTGTTACAGGTTCCAGACTTAAAATGGCTGAATTGCACTCATGATCTTTCCTGTGTGCTGAGCCTAGTTTTCTTGTGGACTTCCCTAGCCCAGTAGATGGCAATCCATTGTTCATAAAAATAACAAAACCAGAAATCTGAGACTCTCTTGAACATCCTTCCCTCTCTCCGACCTCCCTTCCCCACCCTCCACATCTGGACAACTGCCACGTGCTATTAATTCTGCTTCCCACGCGTTTCTTCCCTGTTCCTTCTGCCCTCCACCGCCTACACCTTCGGGCACAGCCCCCGTCCCCTCTTGCCTGGCCACATGCTGTAGCCTCCCAAGTAGTCTCCACACTTGCACGTTTGATCCCCTCTCCGTGATCTATTTCTACACCTCAACTAGAGTCATGGTTTAAAATCAGAATTGGATCATGTTACACCCCGCTTTAACTTTTTCATAATCTGTCAGATTAGCAATAGTCTCAAAGACTGATAGTATTAAGCGTTTGGTGAAGGTTAGAAGTTGGTGTGTTCACACATTGGTAAATAATATTATGACTAATGTCTATAGCTTTCAATCCTGAGGCGCCTAATATTGCAGTGTGTAGCTTATGCAGTAAAATCGGGTTTTGATGTCCTCTTCACACAGCAGATTCCAAGATGGGCTTATTTGTATAGCAGACATGAGTGAGTGCTTCTGTTTCCCAGCTCTTGCACTGTTTTCAGGAGGCAGCATTTCTTTAGAGAGGAAGAAAATGACCCGAAGCAGCGCTGCAGTGCACTAACTGTGCGGCCTTTTGAGCATGTGATATTTCTTAAACAGGCAGACGAAGCCTACTGCATCGGCCCCGCTCCCTCACAGCAGAGCTACCTTGCTATGGAGAAAATCATTCAAGTGGCCAAGGTCTCCGCTGCCCAGGTAAGAGCTGAGAAGTTGTTCACAATGCAAAAGGAAGAAGATTAGTACACTTTATCAAAAGTACTAATTGTTTCTAGAAATTATTTTCTGTTTTTGGCCACTCCCTCCCAAGATTTTTTACATTTGCTTGCTGGGTTGTCATTTGAAAGTAGGCATGTCCCTTCTCATTCCTCAGCCACTTTACCTTCCTACCAGATCCTCTGCACTTTAAATCTTGTGGGAAGTAGGTGGGGGAGGGTCAAAGTTATAAGTTAAGATGAAGATCTTCAAATGCAGATCCTAGGAACATCAAATGCTTTGGGAGAATAGATGGTGCTCTAAATCGTAAATAAAATCAAGAGAGAAATCTCTCTCTTCTCGATTTCCCAGTCTCTCTCAAAGGGCCCTGCTACTTGTTTTTCCAAAATCCCAGCCTCAAAACTCTGATGTTAGTACACCTCTCTTGCATCCTTCAGAATGAAATAAGAGCCAATTTGTGTTGAATCTTTCTTTGAAATATCTCCAGAAGTGGTTTTTGTTTTTTTAAATCGCACAGCCAGACCTTTAGGATCTGTTACGTGGATTTCAGATTCTTAGTTGGTTTTCCTACTTCTAAATCCCTTACCAATCTGATCGTTACTGTATACTACCAGATGAATGTTTTTTAAGCATAAGTTTCATTATTATCCTTTGCTCTTTTTTATTTATTTAATACCTCACCATTTCCCTGCCCTGTCCCCCAGTTAGTAAATCTTCAGTGGTTCCAAGATAAAGTCCAAACCCTTTACCATGGCATGCAAGAGCTTCCAGTGTGGTCCCACCATATTTGTCAAAGCTTATTTCTTATCGCTGGTTCTTTATTATAGCTACAGTGAACTTTCCTCCATCTCCTTTACACACCACACTGATTCCTTCTTCTGAGCACTTGTTCATATTGTTCCACCTGCCTGAAATGCTCTCTTCCTCCTTCTCTTATCATTCACTGTCCAGGCATGGACCAGTAACTTGAAATTTTCCTCCAAAAATGGAGGGTACCAAGAGACCAAAGAAAGAGGTGGGCAACTCCAGGGTGGCAGTAAAGGAGTTTATTAGGGAGACTTATAGACGAGGTGAGTCCTGGGCGGCTGCAGGACCAAACCAGATCTCCGCACCCTGCAGGGAAGGGCAGAGGTTTTATAGGGGTAGAGGATAACAGTGGCTACATGCCAGGGACTTAACATAAGAATGACTCAGTGGACTAGTGAACTAGCGGCCCACATGGGGGCGCCCAAGTTCAGCCTCTCAAAGCCTGTTTCCCTTTTAGTCCACCCCCTGAGGCCGGCTCTTACAATCTGTCACGTCCCCCCTTCTGTGCCATGGTGTGAGAGACCCTGTTCTCTCCCCACTGGGAACAGATACAGAAGTAGGGTATGGTGTCCACACATGTGCAAGAGACAGAGCAAGTTACTGTGCGCCCAGACCAGGGGGAAGGCTTCTCTGATAAGGAGAAGGAACCAGGAGAGAGAAGGTGACCCAATTCCCAGCCTCCTTATAAGAGAATGTTCTGGGCCCAAGGTCTTTACTTAGGCAGCCGAGATGGGAGGTGTAGAGGCAGACTGTCCCCTGATGTTCATGCATTCATCCTCTCCACAAGCATGAACGAGTCTCCGGCTTTGTACCAGCTTCTGAGCGTGGGCCCCGCAGTGGGTAAGGCAGACACAGTTCCCACCCTTACGAAGCTACACTGTGGCGGGTGAGGCAGCGAACAAACTTTGAAACAAACAAAGAAATAACGCCACTAAGGGAGTGATCAGTGGGGGAAGGAGATAACGGAGGACAAGGAGAAAGAGTGACTGTTGGGGGCTGCTCTTGAATAGGGTGGTCGGGGACGCCCGTTTGAGGGGTGACAGTTGAAGAAAGACCTAAAGGAGGAGGAGGAGCCAGCCACACGAGGAACTGAGGAGGAATGTGCAGGCGGATGGAATTGCCGAGGCTCTGAGGTGAAAACACTCTTGGTGTGTTCAGGGGACAGAAGTGTTCAGTGTGGCTGGGGTAGGGGCCGTGAGGGGCGGTATCATCCGGGGTCCCGTCAGTACAATTTCAACAGAGGGAATTTAAAATAGGAATGAATCAGTTACCCCAGTGTGAGAGGGCTAAAAGAGCAGAAGGGGTGTATTGAACTTACCTGGTGATGGTAACTACAGAAATGACAACCACCCCCTGGCTGGGGACGAGGTTGGGGTTACCAGTCTCCTGGCATAGAGGAGGCGCCTTCTCGGCTGTGGCCCAGCTCTTTGTGGAGGGGCCCTGGCCTGGAGGGCACAGTGAGGCCGGTTCCGGGAGCCTCCCAACAAGCTGAAGACTCGAACCAACTGCTGCGGGCAGGGTGAAGATGTACGAAAGCTCCTGCTCCCAGCTTTCCTGTAGCGGCCCCTGGGAGAGCCTGACAGGAAGCCAGCTGACAAAGAAAGAAGGGAATGTGCAGAGCCCCATCACGAGCTGCCCCACAGGGTTCCCAAGGCTGGAATCTTTACGGAAGCTGACTGCCACGTCTTTCTCCCCCGGAGCAGCTGGTGGGTTCCGAGCACCGACCGCTGGGTCAGCAGCCCAGCGCTTCACCACTGTGCCAGCGGGGCCCGTTTCACCAAGTGCAGGAGTGGCACCAGCAGTTAAGCGCTTGACTCGTGACTGAAAGGTTGGCAGTTCAAACCCACCCAGAGATGCCTCAGAAGAAAATCCTGGGGATCTGCTTCCGAAAGGTCACAGCCTTGAGAGCCTTGTGGGGTGCAGTTCCACTCCGAAACACGTGGGGTCACCATAAGTCAGAATTGACTCAATGACAGCTTTTTTTTTTTTTTTTTTTAATCACAAAGGTTGGATTTGGAGCTGAGAGGACGAAACAGGAAGACAGTGGGAAGAGATGGTGAAGCAGAGAGAGAGGTAGAGGCAGGATCACTTAGGATATATAAAATACAAAAAAAAAAACCCTAAACCCATTGCCATCAAGTTGATTCCAACTCGTGCAACCCCATGAGTCCATGCATTGCAGAGCAGAACTGCTCCATAGGGTTTTCTTGGCTGTAATAAGCCAGGCCTTTCTTCTGTGGTACCACTGGGAGGATTTGAACCACCAGCCTTTAGGTTAACAGCATATCACAAACTACTGGCACCACCCAGGGACCTTAAAAAAAAACAAAACAAAAACCAAACCTGTTGCCGTCGAGTTGATTCTGATTCATAGTGACCCTACAGGACAGAGTAGAACTGCCCCATAGGGTTTCCAAGAAGCAGCTGGTAGATTCGAACTGCCAGCATCTTTGTTAGCAGCCGAGCTCTTAACCGCCGCGCCACCAGGGCTAGGGCATTATAGGCCTTGATAAAGACTGTTTCCTTCTCAGTAGAAGGAAGCCACTGAACGATTTTAAGCAGGGGAGTGAAGTGATCTAATTTACATTTTGTGGGGAATAAACACTGGGAGCAGGGATAGGAAGGAGCCCTGGGGGCACAGTGGTTAAAGCCTTTGGCGGCTAACCAAAAGGTCAGCCGTTGGAACCCACAAGCCACTCTGAGGGAGAAAGATGTGGCAGTCTGTTCTGTAAAGATTACAGCCAAGAAAACCCTATGGGGTAGTTCTCCTGTGTCCTGTAGGGTTGTTATAAACTGGAATTGACTCAACAGCAGTGGGTTTGGGGTTTTTTTTTTTTTTTTTTGTAAAGGTGAGTCGGCAGGATAATTAGGAGTCAAGTACTAGGCTATGGCAATATAAGAGCCCTGGTGGCGCAGTGGTTAGAGCAATTAACTGCTAACAGAACGGTCGGCGGTTCGAAACCACCGGGGCTCCATGGGAGGAAGATGTGGCAGTCTGCTTCTGTAGAGATTTACAGCCTTGGAAGCCCTGTGGGGTCACCGTGAGTTGGCATCGACTCGCTGGTGGTGGGTTTTTCTTTTAATGTGCCTCTGGGAATGAGAAACTTTATTTCAGACGCTTCAAAATCACTAACAGGTAATTGAAAGCATGTAGCGAGTTATTTAACTAAGTACCGGTGTCTGTGGTTGACCAAAAGGAAATCCATATGCTTTAAGTATCACAGATGTGGGTAGGAGATTCTTGGTAATAAGAATTTAAAGTGTGTGGCTTCTCCACTCCACTGTGGAAAGGGTGTGTCTCATTTCCGCTTGAAGGCAAAGCCAGCTTTTGTCTTAAAAGAGCAACAACTTTGAATCTCCGCATTTGCTTGAACAAGTACAGAGCAGAATAGACATAAACTACAAGTGTGGAAGAAATCATTTGGGCGGAGATTTAAGGGTAGGGGATAACAGTTTTCTGCATTTACTGTTAAAGATGTAGTAACACTGTGGAATGAACACTGTAAACAGACTTGCTATCCTGTGACTAATCAGGGTGAATGGGTACGTGCCTGATGGCTAAGGATTTAGGATAGAGTAGTATTGTTTTTTCCTTTTAATCCACCTAAGTACTCAAGAATGCCTTGGTTTGGGTATATTAAATTGTTCTTCCTAAGAGAAATTAGTTAAATTTCTTGAGGTTATTCCTGGATTGTGCAGTTGAATTTTATTTTTACAAGGAGATAGCTGCTTTTCTTTTTAGTTATGAAAAGAAAATGTGTATCTAGGTTCATCGAAGAGTTCCATCAAATTATCTGTTAAAGAGAAGGGAGGCTAGAAAGAACAATCTAAAAATGAAATTAGGAAAAGAAGTACATTCACAATGACATCAATAAGAATCAAATACTTAGGAGTACAGTCAGCCAAAGAAATTCAAGACCTGTGTAAATGAAAATTACAAACCACTGCTGAGAGAAATTAGAGTCCTAAATAAATGGATAGATATGTTCATGAACTGAAAGTTCAATTTTGTTAAGATGGCAATTCTTTCCAAATTAAACTATAGATTTAATGTAGTCTTTATCAAAATCCCGATGGGTTTTCTTGTAGAAATTGACAGGCTGGTGTTAAAATAGCCAAAGGACCTAGTATAGCTAAAATAATTTTGGGAAAGACTAGCAAATTTGTAGAATTTACACTACTGATTTCAAAACTCATAAAGTTACAGTAACCAAGGAAGTGTGATATTGGTATAAAGATAAACATACAAGTCAGTGGAACATCATAGAGAGCCCGAAAATAAACTCATATAGTTAATTGATTTTTGAATAAAGGCAAAACAAATCCTGGTACAATTGGATATCTGTATAGAAAAAGATGAACCCTTACCTCCCATCTTAAAAACAAAAACCAAACCCGTTGTCGTCGAGTCGATTTTGACTTATAGCGACCCTATAGGACAGTAGAACTGCCCCATAGGGTTTCCAAGGCTGTAACTTTTATGGGAGCAAACTGCCACATCTTTCTCCCACGGGGCCGCTGGTGGGTTCAAACTGCCAACCCTTCCGTTAGCAGCCAAGCACTTTAACCACTGCGCCACCAAGGCTCCTTCTCCCTCACACCTTACACACAAGCAAAAATTAACTCGAAAAGTATCATAGACCTAAATGTAAGAGCTAAAACTGTGAAATTTCTAGAAGAAAACATAGGAGAAAATCTTTGTGACCTTGGGTTAGGCAACAACTTCTTAGATATGACACCATAAGCAAGATCCATAAAAGAAAAAACTGGTATGTTGGACTTAGTCGACATTTGAAACTTTGACTCTTCAAAAGAAACCGCTAAGAACATGGAGAGACAAGCAGCAGACTGGGAGAAAATATACGCAAAACATAGTTGATAAAGAACTTGTATATTGAATATGTAAAAAACTCTTATAACTCAATAATTAGACAACAAACTATCTTGAAATAGGGTTGGCTGAACTTTTTTCTTTTTACGCTCTCTTGATCATTATACATAATTATGTTTTTAGAGGAACAAAGATGCCCACAGGGCTACTGAAGTTGGAGAGAGAGCTGCTTCACCCGTAACTAAATCATCCGCCTCTCCTCTGCCTTTTGCTGTGGGGTCTCTGTTTCCTCCCATTTTGCAGTCAGTGTTTGCTCTTAGACAGCTTGCTGTCCTTCAGCGTTGCTGATTTCTCACTTCTGTGGACAAGAAAGCCAGTAAGCAAATTTGTAACAACTCTGAGTGACTGGACTAAAGTCTGAGGATTCTTCTTTCCGTAAAGTATGTGTGGACTTCAGCCCATGGTCTTAATATGCACTGTCACTGTTCACGTGCCTTTTTGCTTCCTTCTCAGCCTTATTCTGGAAAGGCGAGGTTGACAGTGACCTAACGATAAGCGAGGTTTAGTTGGGCGGTGTGCTTCTTTCCGCTTTTGGTACCCTGGTTTCACTCAGCCAGCTTTCCATGGAGACAGAGTAAACATTCCCCTTACCGCTCTGAAGCCCTTTGCTCCTCCTTGCGAATATCCTTTGACATCTACCGTAATAAAAAACCCATTGCCATCAAGTCAATGCTCACTTTTAACGACCCTATAGGACAAAATAGAACTGCCCCATGGGGTTTCCTAGGAGCGGCTGGTGGATTCAAATTGCCGACCTTTCAGTTAACAGCTGAGCTCTTAACCACTGCGCCACCAGGGCTCCATCTACCCTAGTAGCAATATTATTTTAAATTGAAATACAGATTCTTCTGGTAAAGGTAAGGCTTCAAAACTTTAGTATAAATGCATTTCAGACATCTCTTTGGAAACAGGTTTTGGTGCAGACCCCGTGTACCTGTCACCAGCGCAGGGCTCCCCCGAGGAAGATGATGTCACTACATCACAGCTTTGCCAGTTTAGCTCTAGTCAGTGTGTCCTTTCTTTCTCACTTGTAGGCTGTCCACCCAGGATACGGTTTTCTTTCAGAAAATCCAGAATTTGCTGAACTATGTAAGCAAGAGGGAATTATTTTTATAGGTCCTCCTTCATCTGCCATTCGAGACATGGGTGTAAAGAGGTAAGAGTTTGTATTGTTTTATGAAGGTCAGTTGAGATGGCTTGTTTTAGCCATAGTAAGGGTTTTAATTCTGCCCTTTGGTTGTCATAAGCATAAGTGATGTATCTGCCATGTAGGAAAACCCCGGTGAGTTACAGAAGATAGTTGAGTAATTAGTGTTTCTAATCAGCATATTAATTAGTGTTTGGGGGCAAAAATGGGTGGGATGAACCACCACGTGAAACACTGGATTGAGGAAGACTAACCAGTAGATATTTTTGTATTTGTGTTAATATTTGTGATCTCAGACTGTAGGACTTTCTTTGCCTATGGAATATTTTCTTTAAAAAGTTCCGTTGTGTTTTGTAGACTGGACTGTATAGAAATGCTGTATTTGTGTTTCTCTTGTATGAACTAATTCATAGAATTGGAGCATCTCTCTCTCTTTTTAATTTTTTTATTTATTTTTTTTATTCTAAAGCACGTCCAAATCCATAATGGCTGCTGCTGGAATACCTGTGATAGAAGGTTATCACGGTGAGGACCAGTCTGACCAGTGCATGAAGGAGCACGCTGGGAGGATCGGCTATCCGGTCATGGTCAAAGCTGTCTGTGGTGGAGGAGGAAAAGTAAGATGACACGTGCTGGTTTTCCACTGCGGGCTGGTCCTGGTCGTAGCCATAACCATCTTTTCTGTCTTAGGGCATGAGGATCGTTAGATCAGAAAAAGAATTCCAAGAACAGTTAGAATCCGCACGGAGAGAAGCTAAGAAGTGTTTCAATGATGATGCTGTGCTGATCGAGAAGTTTGTGGACACACCAAGGTGGGATGAGATTTTTTTTTTTTGCTAATTCAGAATTTTTTCATTATAAAAGTAATCCGTGCTAATATATAGAATTCTAATAGTATATGGGATCATAGTTCCTCAGCCCTGTCCTCTGAGTTAACCACTGATTACAGTAGGGAAGCCTCCTTCCACACGTTCTAGGTGAACAGAAACGTGTGGACATTAACACACAGTGGAACAGTGAATAGGCTCTTACGTGATCTTGTATCATAGACATTTTTCCATGTCAGTAAATACAGATTTACCTCAGTCTTCTTTTAAAAATCATTTATTTTATTTTTTTGTATTGTCATTGAGAATATACAGCGAAGGCACACACCAATTCAAGTTTCTGCATGTACAGTTCAGTGACACTGATTACATTCTTCAAGTTGTGCAACCATTCTCACCCGCCTTTTCTGAGTTGTTCCTCCCCCATTAACATAGACTCACTGCCCCTAAGCTTCCCATCTATTCTTACAAGTTGCTGTTGTCAGTTTGATCCCATCTAGATAGCTCTTAAAAGAGCATAATGCTCAAGGCAGACATTTTTTACTAGTTAAGCTAAACTACTGTGTAAAAATGACTGTGTGGGGGCATCAGACCTCCTCATCTAACTTCATGAGGGGGAGAATCAAGATCAGCATCAGCCCAAGGCTGATTCCTGTGAGGCAGAGGTCAGACATACCTCCTCTCTCCAATCTTTTTGCCAATTCTGACAACAGCTGTCCCTCCCATGGCACTCTCTACTTCTCTGCTGGGTTTGATAATTTGTTGCAATGGCCACACACAACTCACAGACCCTACTCACAGTTGTGGGGTTTATTAGGGAGGTACCAGGTTATAACTCACGATCAGGAACACTCAGGATACAGTTCTTCAGTCAGGACAGCCTCTTCCCAGCAGTGCCTACAGGGAGGCCTTTACCTGGCTTTGGGACCCCTGGCCCGAAGCCACTCAGCTCTCTTGCTCTGGGGGACAGCACGCCCACTGTAGCTGCCTTGCTCCCTGGGCTGAGAAGCCCACAGTGCCTTCTTGCACCGGTCTTCTGGTTCTGCTGCCTCTGTTGCTGCCGTTTCTCTGCCATGCTTGTCACTGCTTCTTGCCATCTCATACCTTCTCTAGTGTTACAGCTCTCTGTCTCCTGGATTTGTGAGGTTCTCAGTTCAGGGACCATGGGTCCAAAGGATGTTCTTGCTTTGTGGTAGTAAGTTACTCCCTTTCTGCCTCTGGGATGGCTCATTTTAAGTCTAGCAGGATGGCAAAACTGACCAATCCCCTCATTAGGGTTCCATACACCTTATTTGCGTGGTCCTGCCCCCTCAAGGTTGTTGTACACCTTATTTGCATTATTAGCAAGCTGTCCAATCCCCTTGGTGGGTCATAAACACCTTATTTGCATAGTCCTACCCGGTCATTTGGTGGGAGTTACAAAACCATGGCGAGAAAGGCCATACAAAAGCAATCCATCGCACTGCATATTGTTTGGTTTTAAGATTTCAGGGAATATTTTTGGTTTAAGGTTTAAAAATTATCTTAGGGCAGTAGTTTCAGGGATTCATCCAGGCTCCATGGCTCCAGAATGTCTGGATTCCATGAGAATTGGAAATTCTGTTCTGTACTTCAGCCTTTTTATTGGTGTCTTAATGGTTCCATGACAGTGATATAACATTAATTTATTTAATCTGTTTCTTGTTGATGGAATTTAGGGTTTTTGTGATGTACTTTTTTTTTAAATAAGTTAAGCTATATTTTATAGAGCCCTGTGAGCATCAGCTGAATGTTCAGAAAATGGAAACAGTTGCCTAAATTGAATAGTGATTATGTTATATATTAATAAATACTAATACTAGCAACAAACACTTACATAGCACTTAACTTCCTGTCAGATTTTAAGTATTTTACATATGCTAAGTAGTCTTGCTTACCTCCTAATTCTAGTCTAATTCTAACCACAACTCTATTAGATGGGTACTATTCCTGTTTTGCAGATGAGGACTCTGAGCTCTGGAGTGATCAAGTGACTTGCCTGAGGTCACCCAGCTGATAAGGGGTAAAGCTGGGATCCAAACCCAGGCAGTTTGACTGGTTTGACTGGAGAGCCCACACCCTAAGCCACTGCCCTGTACTGTTTGTCTAGGTACACTGTAGCAAATGCCATGAGGATTTCTTTTTTTTTTTTTTAATTTTTTGGAATTTTACTTTCCTGTCAGTTGCTTAAAATAAGATACTGATTATAAAGCTTTCTGTTACATAGATTTTGTATGATAAATATTTTTAAATTCAAATGTAATACAAGTAACAAAGAAGAATGCATCTGGGGACCATGACCAGAGAGATTTACCACGAAGATAATGAACTAAAGTTTCAGGCCCTTCCCTTGCATGAGCCACTTCCAAGACCCTGTACCTAAGTCCCTATTGGTAATTTTGTATTCTTAAAGACTTGACCCCACCCATTGCTGTCCAGTCGATTCCAACTCATAGCGACCCTATAAGACAGAGTAGAACTACTCCATAGGGTTTCCGAGGCTGTAATATTTTACAGAAGCAGACTGCCACATCTTTCTCCTGTGGAGCAGCTGGTGGGTTTGAACCATCAACCTTTCAGTTCGCAGCCGAGCGCTTAACCACTGTACCACCAGGGCTCCTTTCTTCTTAATGAAGGCCCCTAAATTGTTTACATTTTAGGCCCTAAAATTTGAATCTATCTCTGATCATGACATAGTAAATTAAATTGAACTAGAGTTTGATAGTTAAAAGGAAAAAACCTCAAAATACATCAGTTGATTAGAAGAGCACAGCATATGCCACTATTAATGGGAAATAAGACAAAAATGGAGGAGATTCTAGGACAAATTGAAGGCTCCCTTCCTCAATATCTTTCAAAAAAAGAATAAGCTAACTGTCTAAATTAGCATAATCTTGAGTTCGCATTGTTGCGGAGATAGCAACTGCCTATTTTAGTGACTGACTTACTGGCTGCACTGTTTTTTGAAGCTGTAAATTCTTGTGAAATGTTAACTATGCATTTCCTTGCAGCATTCTTTATTCCGCTGATAGTTGGGAAGCTCCTAGGAATCAAGGGTCTTGTAGTGTATTTCTTTTTATTTTCCGATATACGTTACTTGGCATACTACCTTCCTCATAATAGGCATCAATAATATTTTTAATATGAATACATTATATGCGTTTGGAAAATACAGAGATGAAAACAAGCTAACCCATAATTTCACTGTCTTAATATAAGTATTGGCATTCCCATGTATTTCCTTTCCATATTTTCTAGTAATGTTTGAATGTACTGATAATCATAATTATATATTATTTTATATCTTGCTAAATAATTACCTGTTAAATTAATGGAGTGCCAGAAGATTGTCAAGGTGATGCTGATAACTGAGAAAAGTAGATACCAAGATGTTTTACAAACCTAATCAGAAATTTTGACCTTACGTAAAAGGCAGGGGTAGGATACCATCTTCAAAATGTACTATTTTAGAAGAAAAAAATCAGATTCCTTCCTCACTTCATGTTCAATGTGTAGTCTAGATGCAGTAAAAACTTAAATAGGAAAATAAAAGCTTTAGAACTCTTAGAAAGTTCTGATAGAATTCTGGTACCTAGAAGGTCCTGCCCAGCTAGACCCCAACAATTACTGAATTGTAGCTCCTGGGATTTGATGCATCTCCTGGTTCTTTGACACTTCTAGACACCGTGCTCCAGTACCTCTAAGTCAGATAAAGCACCACAGAAAAGGATTAATCAGAAAAAGGAAAATAATAAGTGATTTGATGACTACAGAAATCATAAGAGAACACAGATCTTCAGTGAGGTCTCTTTGTAAGCAGCCAAAAGAAAAATGTTACCGACTTCAGAGAACTCAGAAAAAGAGCTGTGGTGTGGTCCCCACGGGTTCCTTTCAGAGCCTGACATCCCTGCTGTAATACCTCCTTCCCTGGAGCAGCTAAAATATATGAAAGAGTCAGTGGAAGTGATGGACTTTTATAATTGTATTTGACATGTATAGAGCTTGGAAGTTGTCACTCGTACCCGAAAAGAGAAAAAAGCTGAACAAACTGAAAATCAATGACTTTTCTTAGACCCGTCAGAGAATTGAGGTCAAAGAGCAAACCACCACTCCAAAATCTGGACAGGCAGGTAAATACAATGAATCACAGCCAAGATCATCTTCTTGGAACAGGAGTTGCTGGAGCCATTAATCAGTAGGAACACTTATCTGGGGATTTTGACAAATGGCTGGAGGATGAGTATATGGACGAACTTGAGCGTGAGAAACCGCTTGGGGCCCAGTCTTGGGGGAGACCCCCATATTTTCATGGATTTTACCTCCAGGAACCCTACCTGTTCTAACAGTGAAGAGCCAAGGAAAGTCTCCGCACGTTTCAGACGGGGAGGGACAAGGTAGCCATTTTGAAATAGGTCCGTAGTGTCCGCCATAACGCAGACCAGCACTGCAGAGAAAACTCTGCCAGAGCATTTTCTTTCCTGACGTCTCAAGGTGGCACAGACGGTTTGTACCCGTCTACTAGTCTGAAGGTTGGCAGCTCAGACCCACCCAGCAGTACACAGAAGGAAAGTCTGGCAATCTGCGTCCGTAAAGATTATAGCCAAGAAAACCCTGTGGAGCAGATCTGCTCTGTAACACACGGGGTCACCATGAGTTCACATTGACTTAGGGGCAACAGGTTTCAGTAAACAAACAGTTAAGTACTCAGCTACTAGCCAGAAAGCTGGTGGCTGAACACATCCAGAGGTGCCCTGGAGGACACTCCTGGTCATCTGCTTCCAAAAGTTCACAGCTTTGAAAACCGTGTACAACAGTTGTACTATGCTCACATGGGTCGCCATGAGTCAGAATCGACTTACTGGTAGCTAACAGCAACAGCAAGCTCCCTATTGTCTTCCTGTCTCACCAAAAAAAAAGAGGCTAAGACATACTTTCAAAGCTTACAGCCCAAGGACTCAGGCCCATTAAGAGACTGAAATGTCATTGTCAGATTATGTAATGTTTCCCCTCCCCACAAACTACTACCATGTCACCAGGGCTCCAGTGTAACAGTGGATTACAACTGAAAGAGCTGCAGGATGCAGACTCTTCAGAAAGAGTTCTTAGGGAAACACAAAGCAATAGAGAGGAATAAAAAACAAGAACATAGAGGAAACTGAAGCCTCTGGCGTCCACAGCTGCGGCAAACATCAAACACAGTCCACATTCTATCCAGATTAACATAAAACCCCACACTAAAGATTTATTTAGTTCAAGTCCTATTACCTGATAAATTGTGTCTGGCTTTAACAGAAAATTACAAGCATGCTAAGAGGCAAGAAAAAACATAATCTGAAGAGACAAAGCAAGGATCAAAATCAGACTCGGATATGACACAGATATCGGAACTTAAAATAACTATCATTAATATGCCAGAAGACTAGCTCTGCAAGAATGATTGAAAAAAGTTCTTCAGAGAGAAGGAAAACAATATAGGTCAGAAATTCAGTTCTACATAACAAAAGGAGGAGTGTCAGAGAAGGAATAAATGAAGGTAAATAAAATCTTTTATCTTTCTGTAATTGATTTAATAGATAAATACTTGTTCAGAGTAACAATAGCACAATATATTGGGTGATTATAGCATATGGATAAGTGAAATGAATGACAGCAATATTATAAAGAATAGGAGGGAAACCTTGATGAGTGGCATCTGGGGTCTAGCAAGCAGCCATGTAAGATGCATCAATTGGTGCCAGCTCACCTGGAGTAAAGGAGAATGAAGAACACCAAAGTCACAAGAAACGTATTAGCCCAAGAGTCAGAAAGGGCCACATAAACCAGAGACTTCATCAGCCTGAGACCAGAAGAACCAGATGGTGCCCAGCTACCACCAATGACCACCCTGACAGGGAATACAACAGAGAGTCCCTGATGGAGCAGGAGAAAAGTGGGGTGCACAACTCAAATTCTAGTAAAAAGACCAGAATTAATGGTCTGACTGAGACTGGAGGATCCCCAGAAAGCATGGCCCCTGGACTCTCTGTCCACCCAGCACTAAAACCGTTCCCAAGGCCAACTCTTCAGACAAAGATTAGACTGGACTATGGGACCTAAAATGATACTTGTAAATAGTGTGCTTCTTAGCTCAAGTAGATACATGAGACTAAATGGGCAGCTCCTGTCTGGAGGTGAGATGAGAAGGCAGAGAGGGTCAGGAGCTGGTTGAATGGACACAGGAAACCAGGTGGAAAGGAGGAGCGTGCTGTCACAGTATAGGGAGAGCAATTAGGGTCACATAACAATGTATGTATAAATTTTTGTATGAGAGACTAACGAATTGTAAACTTTCACTGAAAGTACAATAATAATAAAAAAAAAGAATAGGAGGGAAGAATTGGAGATGTAAGGTACCTGCACTACCCTTGAAGTGGTATAGTGTTATCTGAAAGTAGACTTAGATTAGTTGCAAATGTATATTGCAAACTCTAGGGCAACCACTAAAAAAAATTTTTTTAAAGAGTAATTGATGTGCTAAGAGAAGAGAGAATGGAATCATATAAAATGCGCAATGAAAACCAGAGAAGGCAGAAAAAGAAGGGAAGGTTTAAAAAGAAGAAGAAACAAAGGACAAGTGGAACAAGTAGAAAACATAGTAAATATTAATCCAACTATATCAATAATCACTTTAAATAATCTGAATACACCAATTAAAAGAGACTGTCACAGTGAGTAAGGAATATGATCCAACTCTATGTTGTCTACAAGAAACCCACTTTAAATATAAAGACACAGGTTCAAAGTAAAGGGGTGGAGAAAGATATACTATGATAACACTAATCAAAAGAAAGCAGGAGTAGCTATATTAATTTTAGGCAAAGCAGACTTCAGAACAAAGAAGATCATCAGGGATGAAGAGTAGCATTGCATAATGATAAAGAGGTCAGTTCTCCAAGAAGATACAATAATCTGTAACACCTGTGTATATAACAACAGAGCATCAACATATGTGAGTCACAAACTGATAGACCTGCAAGGAAAAATTTACATATCTACTATTTCAGTTGGAGACCTCAGTATCCCTCTTTCAGTAATTGGTATCAGTAAGGGTGTAGTTGAACTGAACAGCACCATTAGTCAACTGGGTCTGATTGATATTTATAGAATACTTCAACAGCAGCAGAACACACGTTCTTCTCAAGCTCACATGGAATGTTCATCAAGATAGAACACATTCTAGACCATAAAACACACCTTAACAAATAGAAAAGAATAGAAACTATACCATGTATGCTGTCAGACCACAATGGAATTAATTAGAAATCAATAACAGGAAAATAGCTGGAAAATCCCAGATTGTTTGGAGATTAAACAGCATGCTTCTAAATAACACATGGGTCAAAAAAGTCTCGAGAGAAATTAAAATTATTTAATATTTTCCAAGTGGAAAATACAATTTACCAAATTTGTGAGATAGAGTGAAAGCAGTGCTTAGAGTGAAATTTAGAGCACTGAATCCACATATTAGAAAATAAGGAAGATATAAAATGAATACCCCAAGTTTCCACTTTGGAAAACTAGAGAAAGAAAAGCTATTTAAGCCTAAAGCAAGTAGAAGAAAGAAATACTAAAAATTAGAGCAGGAAACAATGATATGGAAAACAAAATCAATAGGGAAAATCGATGAAACCAAAAGCTGGTTCTTTGAAAAGATAGATAAATCTGATAAACATTTAGCCAGGCTTTTGGTTTTGTTGATTTTCTCAATTGATTTCCTATTTTCCATTTCACTGATTTCTTCTAGATCTTTTTCTAGGAAAAACAGGTAAATCGGACTTTATTAAAATAAAAAACTTTTGCTGTATAAAAGATACTGTCAAGAGAATGAAAAGATAAGACTGAGAGGTAGTATTTGGAAAGCACATATCTGGGAAAGAACTTGGACCCAAAAATATACAAAGAACTCTTAAAACAATAAGAAAACAAACAACCAATTAAGAAATGGGCAAGGATCTGAACAGACACCTCAACAAAGAAGATGTACAGATGGCAAGTAAGCATATAAAAAGATGCTCAACATCCTGTGTCTTCAGAGAATCACAAATTAAAACAATGAGATACAACTACACGTCTATACCCAAACCCGAACTCCTTGCCAGTGAATCAATTCCAACTCATAGTGACCCTACAGGACAGAGGGAAACTGCCCTCTAGGGTTTCCAAGGCCGTAAATCTTTACGGAAGCAGACTGCCACGTTTTTCTCCCGCAGAGTGGCTGGTGGGTTCGAACTCCTGACCTTTCGGTTGGCATCCAAGCACTTAACCACTGCACCACCAGGGCTCCTTATGCATCTATAAGAATGGCTAAAATCCAAAAAACTGACATTGCTGGTGAGGATGCAGAGAAATGGAACTCTTTATTTGTTGCTGTTAGGAATGCAAAATGTTACAGCCACTTCGGAAGACGGTTTGACAGTCTCTTACAAAACTAAGCATAGTCTTATCATACAATTCAGCAGTTGTGCTCCTAGGCACTTACCTAACTGAGTTGAAAATTTATGTATACACAGAAACTTGCTCACGAATATTTGTAGCAGTTTTATTCATAATTGCCGAAAACTGGAAGCAACCCAAATGTCTTCAAGAAGTGAATGGATAAACGAACTGGTACATCCATACAATGGATTATTATTCAATAATAAAAATAAAAGAGCATCAAGCCATGAAAAGACATGGAAGAATCTTAAATGTTTATTGCTAAGTTAAAGAAGCCAGTATACCGTGCGATTCCAATTATATGACATTCTGGGTAAAGCAAAACTCTAGAGACAGTAAAGAGATCAGTTGCCTGGGTTCCAGCAGATGGGGGAGGGGTGACTAGGTGAAGCACAGGGTGTTTTTCAGACAGTGAAACTACTCTGCATAGTACTGTAATGGTTAATACATGACAGTATGTATTTGTTCAAACCCATACAACTTTACAACACAGAGTGAACCTTAATTTACGCAATTTTTTTAAAAAGTCATTTAGGAGGTTGGGGAATCCCAAGGGAGAAGACAAACAGGGGACTCTTAAGTGTATCTAAAAGTAGGAAACAACCTCACCGTGAAAGGGGGAGGGAATAAGCTGCTGACCTAAGTAACTTGGGAAAGAAACGCATTCTGTAAGACAAAAGGCAAAAGAAACCCTGCATAAGCGCTGTACTCTAGTTGATAAAGTTGTTTCCCTTGGGGTTATGGGTTAACCACTGTGTTACTGTTAATACATATATATTGGAATTGAACAGTTAAGTAAATACATGGCAGGTGGTGGAAGCAGGAGTCTTCACTGCTGGAGGGGGAATTTACAGATAAATAAGGTTAGAATGACATGTGGTAGTGGGTTAGAGTTGGAGACTTCAGTTAGAATTCATGTTTAATATAGATATAGATGGTTGCATATAGCGATATTTATAGATACGTGTAAATACCAGGGTGAGTATACACACACATTTCTTTGCCCTGTCAGCTGAGATGGCCTAAAAGAAAGGACATCCCGGTAGCCACAAGCTCACTTAGCGGCCGGAGCTTGGTTTGTAACACCATTTCTGCATTAAAAGGCACCAGAATTCCTTGGGAAAATGGCTGCTTCTAGGACTGGGGCAGGAAATGTATAAGATGAGCCTGGAGTATCTTGTAGTGCCAAAAAGTAAGGAAGTGCTAAAACCAACAGTAAAACCCACATTAATGGGTGTGTCATAGGAGCACAAGCGCCAGCTACTCTTGCTTAAAACAAATAACAGGTGGAGTCCTGGTCACCTTGGCCAACACTTTGGCTTCATGATGTCTGCCACCCTTAATGAGGTACATTAACCTGTGTGTTCGCTTTTAACCAGGCATGTGGAAGTCCAGGTGTTTGGTGACCACCACGGCAATACTGTGTACTTGTTTGAAAGGGACTGCAGTGTGCAGAGGAGACACCAGAAGATCATCGAGGAGGCTCCAGGGGTAAGGACCTTGTAAAGAAATGTGTAAGCTTCTCTGTAGTGTAAACCTCAGTCACTCTGATTTTCACATCAGAAATCTGTGAAGCTAAATAGAGGGTCCCAGACAGAGCTGGAGAAAAATGTGGAACAAAATTCTAACTCACAAAACAAGACCAGACTTACTAGCCTGACAGAGACTAGAGAAAGTCCGAGAGTATGGCCCCCGGACACCCTTTCAGCTCGGTACTGAAGTCGCTCTTAAGGTTCATCCTTCAGCCAAAGATTAGACAGGCCTATAAAACAAACAGGAGCCCATAGCACTGTGGTTAGGCTTTTGGCTGCTAACCAAAAGGTCAGCAGTTTGAATCCACCAGCGCCTCCTTGGAAACCCTATGGGGGAGTTCTGCTCTGTCTTATAGGGTCCCTGTGAGTCGGAATTGACTCAACGGCAATGGGTTTTTATAAAACAAACAAGAAAACACGTAGTTCAACCATGTGAACGAGACTAAATGGACACACCAGCCCAAAAGCAAAGACGAGAAGGCAGGAAAGGGGAGGAAAACTGGACGAATGGAAATGGGGAACTCGAGAAGAGGAGAGTGTTGACACATTGCAGGGTTGGCAACCAATGTCACAAAACAATTTGTGTATTAATTGTTTAATGAGAAACTAATTTGCTCTGTAACCTTTCACCTAAAGCACAATGAAATAATAAAGAAATCTGTGAAATAGTGTTTTCCACCCCACTGAACTCCTACTGGATAACTACTTCCCAGTGGTAATACGATGGTAAGGCCTCGCAGCAGTGCTGGGATGAGGAGGGTGCGCGTGCTCTGGGCTGCCTTACAGAGGACACAGCAGGGCCACGTTCCTTCTACGTGAAACCTAGAAAAATCTTCTCTGGCCCAAGTCTCTGACTCAGTGAGCAGGTTTATAGTGAGTGAGATTTCCATGCAGATTTTAGATTGTAATTAACTAGAACGTTTGAGAAATGGAACGATCTGGTTAATTGAACATTTTTTTTTTTTGTGAATGAAACTCTTTCGTCTTCACTGCTGTTTCAGATGTTTGATGTGTTAGTCATCTTCCTGCCTTACAGGTCCTGTTGTGCAGGAGACGCTGATGCTCATTTGGCGGCTTTTGCTGCTGTGAGAGCTGAAACGCGCCGGGACTGCCTTGTTTTTCCGGACCTTGAAAGTATCGCTCTCTATTAGTGGAACGTATTTGAGTTTTCCTTCTCTGACAGGTTTCACCTTACACGGGTTCTGGTTTCGCAGGTTTTACTGTAATTGTTTACATCTCTTTGAGCTGGCTTCTTGATCAGCTTAGGCTGCTATCTGGGTCAAGATCTATTCCTCGGATGACCAATTTTTGCACTTCCCTTTCTTTGGAGCCTGCTACTGAAGGACACAAGAAGCATCCAGAGAACATGGAAGGAATACAGAGTCACTGTACCAAAAAGATTTGGTCGATGTTCAGCCATTTCAGGAGGTAACATATGATCAAGAACCGATAGCATTGAAAGAAGAAGTCCAAGTTGCACTGAAGGCATTGGCAAAAAACCAGCCTCCAGGAATTGACAGAATACCAATTGAGATGTTTCAACAAACAGATGCAGGTCTGGAGGTGCTCACTCATCTATGCCAAGAAATTTGGAAGACAGCTACCTGGCCAACCGACTAGAAGAGATCCATATTTGTGCCCATTCCAAAGAAAGGTAATCCAACAGAATGTGGAAATTATCGAACAACATCATTAGTATTACGCACAAGTAAAATTTTGCTGAAGATCATTCAAAAACAGTTGCAGCAGTGCATCCACAGGGAACTGCCAGAAATTCAAGCCGGATTCAGAAGAGGACATGGAATGAGGGATATCATTGTTGATAGCAGATGGATCTTGGCTGAAAGCAGAGAATACCAGAAAGATGTTTACCTGTGTTTTATTGACTATGCAGAGGTATTCAACTGGCAGATCATAACAAATTATGGATAACATTGTGAAGAATGGGAATTGCAGAACAGTTAATTGTGTTCGTAAGGAGCCTGTACATAGACCAAGAGGCAGTTGTTGGAACAGAACAAGGGGATACTGCGTGGTTTAAAATCAGGAAAACTACGTGTCAAGGTTGTATGCTTTCACCATACTTATTCAGTCTGTATGCTGAGCAAAAAATCAGAGAAGCTGGACTATATGAAGAAGAACACGGCAACTGGATTGAAGGAAGACTCGTTAACAACCTGCGCTATGCAGATGACACAACCTTGCTTGCTGAAAGTGAGGAGGACTTGAAGCACTTACTGATGAAGATCAAAGACCACAGCCTTCAGTATGGTTTACACCTCAACATAAAGAAAAGAAAAATCCTCACAAGTGGACCAATAAGCAACATCATGATAAACAGAGAAAAAATTGAAGTTGTCGAGAATTTCATTTTTCTTGGATCCACAATCAGTACCCATGGTAGCACCAGTGAGGAAATCAAAGGACATATTGCATTGGGCTAATCGACTGCAAACGACCTCTTTAAAGTATTCAAAAGCAAAGCTGTCACTTTGAGGACTGAGGTGCGCCTGACCCAAACCATGGTATTTTCAGTCTCTTCATATGCATTCAAAAGCTGGACAATGAATAAGGAAGACAGAAGAATTGATGCCTTTGAATTATGGTATTGACAAAGAATATTGAATATACCAGAGACTGTCAGAGGAACAAGCAAATCTGTCTTGGAAGAAGTACAGCCAGAATGCTCCTTAGAAACAAAACAGTGAGACTTGGTCTCATGTACTTTGGACATGTTATCAGGAGAGACCAGTCCCTGGAGAAGGACATCATGCTTGGTAGAGTGGAGGGTCAGAGAAAGAGAGGAAGACCTTCAATGAGATGGACTGACACAGTGGCTGCAGTGATGGACTCAAGTGTAGCAACGATTGTGAGGACGGTGCAGGATCGGGCAGCGTTTCCTTCTGTTGTACGTGGGTCGCTGTGAGTCGGAACTGACCCCACGGCACCTAACAACAGCAGTAACTGCTGTGAGCTTCTTGCCTCAGGCTGTATACGTGCTTTTTTCTATGTGTCTTTCTTAAAAGTCAGGGATCTGAGGTTTCCAGTTAATCAGTTTGTTATCTTCGTTTTGTATTCAAAGTTTAATTTCTGTTGCAGACTATATAGTACCGTTTGAAGTAAATGTCAGCAATAGTTTCAGTAATGCCTATTTTCAAGCAGTGATTGCTCAAAAATATATACATGTATATAGAGCACTGTTTTGAATATGTTAAAAGATTTGCTTATTTATTAACATAAATTTTTTTTATGAATGTATTAGCTTGGAATCTCAAGGTTCCCATTATTCCAAGATAATCATTAGGCACTTGACCCAGATCACTTTGTCCTCAACAAACAAAAGCGATCATTGAAAGTTTCACATTGATACATATAATTTTAAATAGACATGTAGGCTTGAAAGCTATTAGGTACAAGGGATGAAGATTTGTAATTATACTAATATCTGCAATTCGTGGAAACTACTAACAACCATTAAACTTTGATGTTGTTGCTGTGTGCTGTCAAGTCCATTTCGACCTATAGTAACCCCACGTGACAGGGTAGAACTGCCCCATAACGTTTTCTAGGATGTAATCTTTACAGCGGCAGATTGTCAGAGCTTTCTCCCGTAGAGCCGCTGGGTGGGTTCAAACCACCAACCTTTCAATTAGCAGCCAGGCACTTAACCATTGTGCCACCAGGGCTCCCTAAACTTTGGTCTAGTGATGGTTGAACTATGGTATAGGACAGTATTTCTTGATAAAATGTATAACATTAGCTTCTTATCCTTATTATCTTCTTAATGCAATTTTGACGTGGAACCAGGGATATCATTGCTGATGTCAGATGGATCGTGCCTGAAAGCGGAGAATACCAGAAAGATGTTTACCTGTGTTTTATTGACTATGCAAAGGCATTCGACTGTGTGGATCATAACAAATTATGGATAACATTGCGAAGAGTGGGAGTTCCAGACACTTAATTGTGCTCATGAGGAACCTGTACATAGACCAAGAAGCAGTCGTTGGAATAGAACAAGGGGATACTGCATGGATTAAGGTCAGGAAAGGTGTGCGTCAGGGTTCCATCCTTTCACCATACCTATTCAATCTGTATGCTGAGCAAATAATCTGAGAAGCTGGACTATATGAAGAAGAACGGGGCATCAGGATTGGAGGAAGACTCATTAACAACCTGCGCTATGCAGATGACACAATCTTGCTTGCTGGAAGCAATGAGGACTTGAAGCACTTACTGATGAAGATCAAAGACCACAGCCTTCAGTATGGATTTTCCCCTGATAAAGAAAACAAAAATTCTCACAACTAGACCAATAAGCAACATCATGATAAATGGAGAAAAGATTGAAGTTGTCAAGGATTTCAGTTTACTTGGATCCACAATCAACACCCATGGAAGCAGCAGTCAGGAAACCAAAAGATGCATTGCATTGGGCAGATCTGCTGCAAAAGACCTCTTTAAAGTGTTGAAAAGCGAAGATTGTCACCTTGAAGACTAAGGTGCACCTGACCCAAGCCGTGATATTTTCAGTGGATCATATGAATGTGAAAGCTGGACAATGAATAAGGAAGAACGAACAAGAATTGACGCCTTTGAATTGTGGTGTTGGCGAAGAATGTTGCATATACCACGGACTGCCAAAAGAAGGAACAAATCTTTCTTGGAAGAAGTACAGTCAGAATGCTCCTTAGAAGCAAGGATGGCGAGACTACATCTTACATACTTTGGACATGTTGTCAAGAGGGATCAGTCCCTGGAGAAGGACATCATGCTTCGTAAAGTACAGGGTCAGCGAAACAGAGGAGGACCCTCAACGAGATGGATTGACACAGTGGCTGCAACAGTGGGCTCAAGCATAGCAACAATTGCGAGCGTGGCGCAGGACCGGGCATTGTTTTGTTCTGTAGTATATAGGGTCACTGTGAGTCGGAACAGACTCGACCGCACCTAACAATAACAACAATTAACAAGGTACTAATAGAGATTTATTGTAAATATTTTTTCATAGCCTGGAATTGAAGCCGAAGTAAGAAGAAAGCTTGGAGAAGCTGCAGTCAGAGCTGCTAAAGCTGTAAATTATGTGGGAGCAGGTATGTGAAGATCTGCTTCTAGTGGGTTTCTTTATTTCTCAGAAGGCCAAAGAAACATGTAGCTCTTAAATCAGTGGCTTTCAAACTTTTGACCAGATCCACAGTAAGAAATACATTTCATATTGAGACCTAGTATATAGGGTTACTGTGAGTCAGAACTGACTCGAAGGCAACTGGTTTGGGTTGTTTTGGTTTAATATATCCCCATAAGTATGTGTGTTTATATACAGATGTATTTCCAACAAAAATCTGATTGAACAGTACTTTAATTATGTGTGATGCTTTTTGATATTTTCCATTTCTATTTTATGTTAAAATGAAATCACTCAATTGATTTTTATGCTCGACTAATGGGTTGTGACACACAGTTTGCCAAACACGTTGAAAAACATACTTGGAACTGACTTTAGGCTAAGTGAAAAAACGCAAAAGAGTCCAGAGTCTACGATTTCGTTTACGTGAGAGTCTAGAAAAGGCAAAGCTATGGTGACAGAAAGCAGAGCAGGCAGGAAGCGTGGCGCCAGGGTTCTGAGGAAGGGGCTGACGACACGGGAGAACGAGGGGACTGTTTGAATGGTGGAGGCGGTGGTGGTCTCGTGACTGTAGACAGTTGTCAAAACCCAGCACACGTGCACTTAAAATGGGTATATTTCATTGTCTGAAATTTTACCTTAATAAAACTGGGGAGTTTTCTCTAGTGCTTTATAGAACGCTGATAGGTAAGACATTAACAGAAGGTTTAGTGGCTAAGAAATCTCTCAGCGGGTCACCAACGAAAGAACTTTTAAGGAAGCTCCCGAGAGCCCACAGTCAGGGGGAAGAAAGTTTTATCTTTTTCGCCACAGGGTTGGAGTGAGCTAGGATGGCTCATGTGAGGCTCCTGGGGCTCTGGTGCACTGAAGCAGTAACACTGGTTCTGCCATGTTCTCACTGCTGCAGCAGCTGAGACAATGCATAACCTAGGCTCACCGTTTGCTCAGAACCCCAAACAAATGTTTGTGTTGCTAAATTCATGCAGCATCCTGTTTTTGACCAAGAGTCATTTGCTGCAACATGGGAGATGTTTCTGAAGTGCAGAATGTTTACCGTTGAACGAAGGCAGCAGGAAAACTTGACATGGTATACCCTGGATGATTTTGATTTGCTGCTGATTGTATACTGCTGATATGTGGCCATGTTTTATCTTGCAGGAACTGTGGAGTTTATCATGGACTCCAAGCACAATTTCTACTTCATGGAGATGAATACGAGGCTGCAAGTAGAGCATCCTGTTACTGAGATGATCACAGGCACTGACTTGGTGGAGTGGCAGCTGAGGGTGAAAGAATATTTTTGCTGTTATAGATCAGTCTTGACAATAGGTTCCCTCTGGCCTCCTAAATGAAGATGTCACTTTGGACAAGGATTTGATTCTTGGTGTTTGTGATGAGGACAGGAAAATGGGAGGTAAACGGTGATGGCTACGTTTGATACTGCGACATTATTGTCACTTTATGGACTGAGCTTCTTAACCTGTCACTTTCTGTTATTTCCCCTTAGGCACGAGGTGAGTGCCACCAGGAGGTCGTGAGACTTGTTCACGAGCACATCATCTCAGTGCCCAAGCCTCAGCTTCTACCGGAGGCCACGTTGCCCTGGGCCAGGCCGTCAGGGATTTTAGAGGCAGGGCAGGTGCTAGCCAAGATGATGTGAGCTAAGGCAGAGTTGGGAATGAAGAGCCAGGGAAATGGTCTAGACCAGTGGTGTGGTCCCCACAGCAGTGCTGGTCCACACGCAGTCACTGTCCTTGGCGAGATAAGTGTAGTCACTCAGAGTAAGCGCTTAGAGACTTTGAAGCATCTGGACATCGCTGTCACGTGTTCACTGTGTTCGATGAAAGTGCAAGCCCACAACCGTCCTTTAGATACTTTAGGAAGCATGGTCTCAGTCAGAGCCCCACAAAGCATATTCCTTCGAATATTAATAGCAATCTGTTTTTAATCTCTTTATTGAAAATGATAGATTTTACCTCAACCTTCTTTTGTTTTAATATTTTAAAAACATTGTCAAAGTAGTATCAATCTATTCTTGGTCTCTGTAGCAGTCTTGGTTCTTTATATATCCTGAATCTAATATTTTTTTTCATGTTATGATGCCAAAATCTTGATTATTTTGATAATTTTGTCTTTTCAGAACTTCTGTGGACTGTAAAATGATCTTCCTTTTGCTGGCTCCTTGGGGATGATTGGTGGTTCTCATTGAGCCCAGAGGTTCTTTGAGCCTCTCCAGCCCTGGGAGCTAAGGAAGACCAGGCCATCAGACTAGTGCTAATGAGTGTCAGGGGAACTGGAGAGAGAGTGCTTGTTTCCAGAATTCAAGGAAAAGGAGGTTGTTTTTTAAGTAATAGTTAAATAGAAGGCGTGGTGGTGCAGTGGTTAAAGGGCTCGGCTGCTAACCGGAAGGTTGGCGCAGTTCAAGCCCACCAACCGCTCCATGGTAGAAAGATGTGGCAGTCTGCTTCCATAAAGATTTACAGCCTTGGGAACCCCATGGGGCAGTTCTGCCCTGTCCTGCAGGGTCACTATGAGTCAGAACCGACTCAATGGCATTGGGTTTGGGTTTTTTTTTTTTTTTGGTAATCAAAAGGGTCTGGAATTTTGATATCAGGGAAGCTCAAAGACTTCTAAGGGTCAAGGTAAGAGAAGGCTTTTGGACGTTAGAGGAAATAGCAGATATTTATTTCTGAAGCGCACGAAGATAAGAGTTTGGCAAGGCTCTCCAGAAAGAGAAACCCATTGCCGTCAAGTCAATTCCGACTCATAGCGACCCTGTAGGACAGAGTAGAACTGCCTCATAAGGTTTCCAAGGCTGTAATCTTTACGGAAGCAGATTGCCACATCTTTCTCCCATAGAGTCGCTGGAGGGTTCTAACCGCCAACCTTTTGGTCAGCAGCTGAGCGCTTAACCACTGCACCATCAGGGCTCCTTCCAGAAAGAGAAGGAGGCTTTGTCATCTGTGGAGGGGTTCTGGAGCTCAGAGGCACAACTGGACCTGGTTTATAGAGTTCAAGGCACTTTGGAGTCTGGCTTTCCCAGCAGAGGTAAAACAAGGGCGTTTGTCATTTGGTGAACAAGAGGTAAGCTCCAGGACCTGTCTCCATGGTCAGAGCCTTCCTGGAACAAGGCTCAATGACGAGAGCATCCAGGATCCAGACTGCAGATGCAGATGGTCAGCAGGGTCCCAGTAAAGCTGGTGAAAATGCCGAAGGTCCTTGAGTTCCAAATAGAGTCAAAGCCTGAAAGAACTCAGATGGCACAGATTTCCAAATTCCTAGGAACGTAGGGGGGCCAGTATTTTCTGGGCTCAATAGAAGCAATTTCAGAGGAAAAGAGACAAGCACCGACCAGCCAACTTGAAATGGGGCTAGATAGAAATAAGATCACATGTTGAAATATGGACGTCTTTTCCCTCTTTTATATTAAAACAAGTAGAATTCTTTATGGAAACATTGAAGAGTATTTCATTATAAAGGATGAGAATGAAGCAATAGCTAGCGCTTGCGTAGTGCTTACTCTGTGCCAGGCACTTTTCTCTGACACTTGCCCAGGTCACGGAGTAGGTAAAGGACAGAATTTGAACCCAGGCAGTATGGCAGCAGAGTCTTTGAACCACCATGCCATAAAGACATTCAGTTTAGGCTCTTTCCCATTCATTCGGAGCCCTGGTGGTGCCGTGATTAAGAGCTTGGCTGCTAACCAAAAAGCTCGGCAGTTGGAATCCACCGGCTGCTCGTTGGAGACCCTTTGGGGCAGTTCTCCTGTGTCCTATAGGGTTGGTATGAGTTGGAATCGACTCAGTAGCCATGGGTTTGGGTTTTTGTGGTCCCATTCATCCCTAGCAGCTGTGGTTCCTGGTCTTCCTTACTGACAGATTCAAGGAGAGGCAGCCCTGACTATCTCTGCCCCCTTTGCGGCGCGTTGTGTCACTGAGTCACTTAGCGTTTGTTGGTGGTGGTTTTTCTGTATCCGTCTTGCCATCTCAGTTGTCATTTTCCCATCTTGGAGAAAAACTTGAAGGAGAGAGTGAAGAGAGAGACGATGTGTCCTCCAATCACCTTTTCCAAGTTGTAGTAGTTGAAAGGAGAGATGTGTTATATTGGTACGTAATAGCCAAAAGACTACTAATTGTAGGAGTGGTAAACAATAGTGATCACCCTTTTAGGATCTGGTGTCATGTGATACATGTAAACATAAAGACATTGGAAACCACCTGCTCCCCTTTCTGCCTTGCTGTCTCGCTCCCTCCCTGACGAGGATCACAGTGTAGATGGCAGAGGCCGCACCACGCCCGTCACTGGGGACGCAGTCCTAAACATCAGCTAATAACTTGTTATCAAAAGATTGATTCAGGAGCTGAGTGCCGGTGTTTAAGTGAAAACTGAGACTTTACGTCCAGTGAAATATTTTGCTCTTGATTATATTCAACAAATGTAGATCTTTGTGTTTATGATTTAGTCATCAGTTCGCCTGCTTTCTCCCTCTAAAAACTAGAAACCCATTGTAATTAATAGGCTCTTCCCAAGCTGCATCTGTTTTTTAATCTATTTTTGTTTTTGCCTAATGCTCAAGTAGGTGGATAAAATAAAATATTTCATTTGGCTCCATTTTAAAGCCCAAATGTATATTTTACATAGAAAAAGGCAAGCTCAGAAATGTACTAAGCCTTGTAACTGCTGTGAGGTGGATTTTCACAGGAAGCACATACTCTTCTGTTACCAGATTGCAGCAGGAGAGAAGATTCCCTTGAGCCAGGAAGAAATAACTCTGCAAGGCCATGCCTTCGAAGCTCGGATATATGCAGAAGACCCTAACAATAACTTCATGCCAGTGGCCGGGCAGATAGTTCATCTCTCTACCCCTCAAACCGACCTTTGCACAAGGATTGAGACTGGAGTACGAGAAGGTAAAGTCAAATAAAATAAAAGGTCTCACTCTCTTTGATTTTTTAAGGCATTATCATTTTTGAGTCTTATCTCGGGGGTTTGTGGAAATGTCCAGCATGCTTTAAAATAAAGGATTTAATTGATTTCTCATTAACCTCTATTTTCCCTTTTGGAATAACACCAAAAAACCTGTTGCTGTTGAGTCAATTCCTACCCATAATGACCCTGTAGGACAGAGTAGAACTGGCCCGTGAGGTTTCCTAGTGGAGTTGAACTGCTGACCTTTTGGTTAGCAGCCGAGCTCTTAACCGCTGTGCCGTCAGGGCTCCCCTTCTGGAATAGTTACTTTTAAAGAATAACTAGTATTTATAAACAATGCACTCTTGTTTTAAATGCAGTGGTACTTGGTCAAAGCAAGTTTATTTGTTTACTTTTCCTAGTTCCAAGTATGTTTAAGGTGACTGACACCTACTGTTCAAGGCACTCTTGACTTTAAGGGACTTAAAGTCAAACTAGAGAATTAAGATGTAAACTTACTATAGGCTAACTAACAAAAGAAATGAATAGCACTACAGGAAAGATCACAGTTAAGCATGTGATTAATAATGGTCGTAACTAACAAATTATGTAGCGCTTACTGTCTTCTAAGTGTTATATGTGGGTTCCTTTACCATCAGAAAGAGCCTTGGTGGTGCACCGGTTAAAGCCCTAGGCCTCTAACCAGAAGGTCGGTGGTTCAAACCCACCAGCTGCTCTGCGGGAAGAAGATGTGGCAATCTGCTTCCTTAAAGATTTTCAGCCTTGGAAACCCCATGGGGCGGTTCTACTCTGTCCTGTAGGGTTGCTATGAGTCGGAATCGACTTGATGGCAATGGGTTTGGTGGGTTTGGGTTAACCCTCAGAACTACCCTATGAGTAGGCATTATTATCATCCCCATTGTATAGATGAGGAAACTGAGGTACAAAGAAGTTAAGTGACTTACCCAAGGTCACCCTTGGAGCCAGAATGTATACCCAGGCAGTCTGGCTCCAAAGGCTATGCTCTGAGCCACCACTGTGTATTGTCATTTTAATTTCCATTGCCAGAGGAGTTTCACAGATGGTGGGTGATGGGATAGAGCAGTGCTCGGGACTAAGAGGCTCTATGTCAGTCTGGTATCATCACAAGTCTCTAAGAGGGAGGCTTGATTGGTGGATAAGATTTGAGTTGGCAGATATAACAGCTTAAGAAAAAGCGAAGAAGCAAAAAGGTTAAAGGGTGTTCGAAGAACTATAAGAAAGTATACATGGCTGGAGAAAAGGTTCAGGAGGGTGAGTAGCTGGAGATGTGGCTGGAGACTTGGTTGAGGGAAAACCATGTTTGGTCTTGAAAGCTAAAATGAGGAATTAGGAATCCTTGATGATAGATTGGCATCATTTTGGGAGCTCTGTCTAAGCCCCATCAAGATTTGGTAGTTTAATAGCAGAAAAGAGAGTACTTGAAGCAGAAAAGGAGGACCTTGTGTGGCAAGCACAGTTTGCAATGTAATTTTATGGCGGTGCTCAAAGGAGAGCAGAGACAGAGCTTTGAGAAGGACTCCCAGCCTCAGGTCTCGCGCTGGGAGGGATAATGGAGTCCAAGAAACTCCCCCAGCTTGCCTCTCTCTGTTCCCGTAGCACCTCGTGCTCTCCTCGGACTTCACCCTTCCTAGACTGTAGTAGTCTTTACTCCTTGTCTCGCTTCCCCGTTAGATTGTCAGATTCTTGAGGGAGAGATGAGGCCTTGCTCAAACCTTAGGCCTGGTAGCTATTCAGTATGTGTTGGTGAGTGAGTGAGTGGAGGAAGGGAAGTATGATCCAACCCCTTAATTTTATGGATGAACCCCTGGGTTCAGAGGTCAGGTGACCTATCTAAATCATGAAAGGGTCCTAGAGTAGTGTTCTTTAGTCTTACAGGATCCCTGGTGGCACACTGCTTAAGAGCTAGGCTGCTAACCAAAAGGTCAGCAGTTGGAATCTACCAGCCACTCCTTGGAAACCCTATGGGGCAGTTCTACTCTATCCTGTAGGGTCACTGTGAGTTGGAATCGACTCAATAGCAATGGGTTTTTTGGTTTTTGGATAGTCTGCCACATCCTTTCGACTTACTTCTAACCAGTGGACCGTGCCCTGGTTCAGATTCTTGTTCCTAGCACTCTAACCATCATGGTGGTGATGGGTACCACTTGTTCAGTAGCTCTGCAGGTATGGCACCTGGTACTTTGTTGCTGGTCCTCCCAGCAACCCTACTAGGCAGAGGAGTCGCTACTTTTGTTTTACCGCTGAGGGAGTGGAGAGAGGGGAGTGCCCAGGGCAGACTGAGCGTGATGTGAGGAGGTAGAGGGAGTTTGCACTGCTTCCTAAATGAGAAAGGAAGGCCTTCAGAGGAAGCTAGTCTGTGTGTGGTTGAATCCTTGTCTTACGGCCTGGTACTCTTAGGTGGCCACACCCTCAGTAGATGGTGGGCAAGTTTTTAAATCCCCTCTGAGCCTGTTTCCTTGTGGATAAAATGGTGATAATGACATCTATCTTGCAGGGGTTTGTTAAGATGAAGTGAGAAAATGTACACAAAACCCCAGCAGAATGTCTTGCTGGTCACGTATGCTCAGGTCACTTTGAGCCCTTTCAGTTCTGACTCTTGAGTGGTTACTGTGGCTTTTCAATTTCAGGAGATGAAGTCTTGGTGCATTATGACCCCATGGTCGCCAAACTGGTCGTGTGGGCCGCCGATCGCCAGGCGGCCTTGACGAAACTGAGGTACAGCCTCCGTCAGTACAACGTGAGTAATCTGGGGTTGTGTCGGCCACCCGGTGCTCTCTGTGTTTCTACAGCCAAGCGCGTCCCTCACGATGGGTCAGTCTTTATCCCTTTGTCACTGCGTACGTGGGGGAATTTGCTATGGGTCAGAGTAGGATTTCAAGGCTTTGGGATTTCACTTAAAAAAGAAATTCTGCAGAAGTAAAGCTGTCAGGGTCAGCGTTATACTTCAGTGAAGTTCCTGTTCACTCTGTGAGCAGGCCAGCTACAGACGTGTAGCCTGCCGTCTGTGTTTTTATTCTGAAGAAGTGAGACGGTTAGGGTCGGCTTCATTCATCTGCTAGAGTTTGGTAGAGTTGGTTGCCCATGAAGTTCCTCGGTGCAGAAGGTCTCACTACCCTGATTCAGCTTCATACGAGGATTTCTTATTAATCGATGACGTTCACATTCTTACACATTCCGATCGTCCTCTGGTCTCTGATTTCAGCCACGTTGGCAGCACGCAGCCGCGTCTCCTCGTCAGGTGCCCACGTGACTGTCCTCAGAGAGCTGCCCAGCCGCCTGTTTACAGTCGGGTCCTTTGCTGTTCTCCAGCCCCGCAGGCAGCGCTGGTTCCTTCACAGCACCTGACGTTACCTTAGAGAGTTACTGCGCGTGTGTTGTCTCCCTCCCTAGAAGGTGAACTCGGAGAGGGCAGGGCTGTCATCTGCTGTGTCCTTCACCGTGTCCCCGCTGCCTAGACCAGGGCGACCCCTAACAGGTGCCGGGTACGTGGCTGTGAAAGGAGTGAATAGATGAGTCGGGACTCGGCTGCTTTTACCTGTGACCCCGTTTATTGGGTGGCCTTCCATTAGTTTTAGGACTTTTTTGTATGTAAAATTTGGATCTTAGTGTTGGAAGGACGTTCCATCCTGTCCACAGGGTCGTGGTTCTGCCTGCTGTTTGCAGTCTCCCTGTTTGTGGGCATGTCCTGCGTGACAGGTCTTCAGTATCTTACAGATGAATCTCATTTATGTTTCATAACATTTGGCGCTTTCTTAACCTGAGTCAGTGAAACGTCTCCACGCCCCCTGCCCTAATGCCGTTTCCTGGGTCTACTTTATCATAATAAAATAGAGTTTTAGGTTTCAAACCCAAATGTGTAGTGATGGTGGGGTGTTATTTTTGTTTCTGTTTTCTCTCCGAGCTTCCCTGTCACCATATGGCACCTCAGTGGGGTTTTTGTGTTTTTCCTGTGAGTTGTTCTTTGTGGAAGGTACTCAGCAGAAAGAGCAGGCACCATACAAACGTTTTTCTGAAGCCGTTGTTTTCCCCACCCGGGAGGGACTGAGAGCTTTATTCTCGTCCTAGATTGTCGGACTACATACCAACATTGACTTCCTGCTCAGCCTCTCTGGCCACCCGGACTTTGAAGCCGGGAATGTGCACACGGACTTCATCCCTCAGCACCACACAGAGCTGTTTCCCGCTCAGAGGGCCACAGCCAAGGAGCTCTTGTGCCAGGCAGCCCTGGGCCTCATCCTCAAGGAGAGAGCTGCAACTGATGCTTTCAGACTTAAGGCGCAAGGTAATGGGTGCCTTTCTCTTTCCTCAGCTTGCCGAGTTTTTGTGAATTCTCCCTGAACATGCTTTTCTCTCTTTATGCCATTTTTGTCCCCCTTTCTTCTCTCAGTGCTTGACACCATCCTCTGCTAATGCGTGTTTTAGTTTGAAGAAGATTCTCCACACATCATGGGTGCCCCCATAAACACTTACTATTAAACATGACCTGACAAATCACCATGGTAGAGATGGGTCTCCTTTCAGCCAAACGCTCGTTCTTCCCCCATTCCGTGCTGATCCTTCCAACTGCTTTTGCTTGCCCCTCCTCATGGCCTACTTTACGGGACCCTCTGTACCCACGGCAGTTTCCTTGGTCCAGGGAACTAGAGATACAGCAATGGAGACCCCAATGCCCCTGAGTTCCCCATGATTTATTGCTACTCTCTTTCCCCAGCTTATGATTGAATTCTTGTCTGCCTAGAGGCCTAGGTACTTCCTGGTGCCAGGGAGCCTGAGCATAGGAAGGAGCACGGCAGGGATTCACCCTGGCCGCCCGATATATGCGTCTCCCCTTCGGAGTCCCCACTCAGTTGTTGCCCAGCCTCTTTCTAACACCTCGGGAAGCTGGAAATGCATTACTTTATACGGTACTTTATTACAGTCTTGGTCCACTCTCTGTTGGAAAGTTCCTCCCCTTAAATTGAGCCAAAACCGAGCTCTCCTGAACTTGCTCCGTAATATCTTCGTCGTTGTTGTTCTTCATTGCCGTTGAGTCACTTCTGACTCATGGTGACCCCGTGTGCAGAGAACTGCTCCACAGGGTTTTCACGGCTGTGACCTTTCAGAAGCAGATCACCAGGCCTGTCTTCCAGGTCGCCGCTGGTGGGTTCGAACCACCAACCTTTCAGCTGGTAGTCGAGCACTTAACCATTTGTGCCCCCCGGGGACTAGTATAATATATTTACTCAGGCTAATTCTGACCTTTGGAGCAAGCAGGAAAAAAAAAATCTAATTCACATTATCTCCTTATTATGTAGGATCTTTATTTTCTAAATTCATTCAATAAAACATTATTGAAAGCTTTAAATGTGCAACTACATTTTTAGGAGATTTGTGCTCTACCCCTGTTTTATCCTCTTACCTTAAATAAAATGTGTCTAAATATGCCCCAGGTTGGTATTCCTGAGCCTGAACTTAGCATTTTTACAGCAGAGTGTGCTCTTGCTCTCACCTTCCTTTTTTTAAATTTATAACTGGCACCGATACGAGTTTCAGAATAAATTACTTCGGTTTAGCTTTGCTATTAAAAAAAAAAGAACAACCAACCTATTGCTGTCGAGTCGATTCCGACTCATAGCGACCCTATAGGCCAGAGCTTTGCTGTAGCGCCTGGATATTGTCCAGGAGAGGATGCACGCTCAGAAGCCTATGGAGCTGACCAGTAACGTGAAAGAGTCAAAGGGGTCTGATGAAAGAAACACAGCAAGCGGTAGAGATTTCGGTGACCGGGATTGCTTTCATCCTTTCAGGAGGGGGCCGCCGGCTAGTGCCTGCCACCAGGGGGTGAGAGCTGAAGCTGCAGATACTCTGATTTTTCAAGAGAAGCTGGGCTTTTTCATATAGACTTTCCTGAGGTGTAAATGAAAGTACCTAAATTTAAAACAAGGAAAAGAACAAAGGAAACATTTCAGCTGCTGATTTAGGACCCGTGTTGTGGGTTTTCTTTTGTAAGTGAGAAATTCAGTAGGCTTGATGGGCGTAAATTTGTTGTTGAATTTTAAATTTTTCTAGATCGATTCTCTCCATTTGCATCTAGCAGTGGAAGAAGACTGAATATCTGTTACACCAGGAACATGACTCTTAGAGATGGGAAAAACAGTAAGTAGTGTTTCGTTTACAGAGAAATATGATTCATAGAAATAGATGACATTTACCTGAAAAAAAGAAAAGGATTTAGCCTGATTATAATCAGTTAATTACATTTTTAAAAATATCTAGCCTAACATTGGAAGGAAATATGCCAAAATAACAGAATTGGTTTTTTTTTTTCTTCTTTACACTTTTTTCTGTATTTTATAAATATTCAAAAAATGTGTCATAAAACATATACAGAAATAAGACTGAAATGAACTATGCCAAAGTATATTTGTGGTTACTGTTGGGTGGTGGGATTTGAGGTGACCTTTTTTCCCATTTCTTTTTACTTTGCTTTGCAATTTTTCTACACTGAGAGTATATTACTTCTAAATAAGAAAAAAAAATCCAAAACTGTCAGAAAGGGAGGAGAACCCGCTGCTCAGGCAGTGCTTCCGGTGGAAGTGGGACGCAAACGAGCTGTCATTTATTGAGTGCCTCGTCAAGTGGAGATTTTTATCTTCACGACACTTTAGGGAAGTGCGGTCACTGCTGTCCCCACTTGCGGATGATGCAACCGAGGTGCAGGAGGTGATGAGTTACTCAAGGCCAAGGGGCGGCAGGACCAGGGCTGACTCCCTCCTCTCTGTCCTTGATTTCCATGCTGTTCCCACCAGTTTTCCAGGTGGAAAATTGATTCTTGACTGCAAACTAATTTGAGTAGGCTCAAGGTAGGGGGTGGTTTATTTTACCTGAAGTCAAAGAGATTGCCGCCTGAGCCAGAAGGCAGCTTGTTAATTAATGGCTGGACCAGTGTGTCAGAGGGACTGGACTCCTGTGACAGAGCAGGACCACCACGTCCCTTCCTCTGCAGGATGGTTCGCATGGCGAGCTGAGTGGGCAGAGTCAGAGCTGGCAGTGCTCGATAACCTCGCACATGAGGTGTCATTAAACTCTGATAGCTCCGCCGTAAAAGCGTGCCAACCAGGGAGAGCAGAATTCTCCTGCCCGCTGATCTGGGCACCCCATCCCTGGATGTCCACTCGATTCTATGTAGCTGTCCGCTTACGTGTTCACAGAGTCTTTCTTTGTAGAAGGAGTCAGGATTTGAACCCATGCTCCAGGGTGTATGTGCTGACCTGACATTGCACCATGCCATACTTCCATTCCTTCCTTCCATAAAATATGTTAAGAGGATGTTGAAGGTGCTGTTGTAGGAGACAAAAGATGTGTAGGGAAAAGAGAAACAAGTCGAATTACTGTATAGAACAAAAAAGAATTTAGAGTTTTCCTGGCTGCGTCTTTATCGTGATCCTACTGGCATTCATGTCAGTTAAATACTTTTTATATGTTATAAATTGAGAGAGAAAACTGATCCCGTGTAATTGGAGGCATCTTCCCCTGGGAGGGATTAAAAATTTGACAGTATAGGGTGGGAAAGTTCATTATACCTTCAGTAGAAAGCTTTTGAAAAAACAGATACGCTGAGTGATATGAAGAAGGGGAAAAAGATGTCTTTGTCCTTGTTTTTTCTCTCAAGGAATGTACCATTTGGCAAAGAGAAACATGTCTGTTGGGAAGAGGGAGACTGTGTGGGTTCAGACCGTGACTCTCCTCTTCTCTGTCACTCTTGGGCAAGTCACTGCTCTCTAAGCATCCAGTGTCCTTGACCATTTATAAATGGGGGTGGGAGTAGTAATGACTTCCTGGGGTCGTTGTGGAAATGAAAGGAGCCAACATGTGGGAAACATGGAGCGAACAGTTAGCGGTCCATGAGTGTCAGCTGTCATCATCGTTATTAAACTATGTCCTCTTAGAATCGTAGAAAAAAAAGCAAAAGTGGATCTATATGTCACATGTTAATTCTTTAAAAGCTGGTTGCATAACAATGTGTATAATGTAGTCCTATTGTTATAAAAGAAAAATATATGTTTCAGTGTGCATTTAAAAAGATCTGAACAGGGATCTAATACCCAGAATATACAAAGAACTCCTACAACTTAACAACAGAAAGACAAACAGCCCCATCAAAAAATGGCAGAGGACTTGAGTAGACATTTCACCAAAGAAGAAATACAGGTGGCCATTAAGCACATGAAAAGATGCTCAACATCATTAATCGCTGGGGAAATGCAAATCAAAACCACATTGAGATATCATTTCACGCCTACTAAAATGGTTATGATTAAAAGAAAGGAAAGCAACAGGTGTTGGTGAAGATGTGGAGAAATTGGAACCCTCATCATTGCTGTTGGTACATCCACTGAGGAAAACAGTTCATCAGTTCCTCAAAAAGCTAAACTTAGAACTACCATATAATCCAGCAATTCCGCTCCTAGGTATATACCCAAAAGGATTGAAAGCAGAACACACTCAGATGCTTGTCCAGCAGTGTTCATTTCAGCACTATTCATGATAGCTGGAAGATGGAAACAACCTAAATGTCTGTCAGCAGATGAATGGATAAACAGAATGTGGTCTATCCATACAATGGGGTATTGCTTGATCATAAAGAGAGATGAAGTCCTGATACATGCTACAGCACAGATGAACCTTGACAACATGCTGAGTAAAATAAGTCAGTCACAAAAGGACAGATATTTTCCCACTTACGTAAGAAATCTAGAATAGACAAGTGTATAGAGACACGGTTTATTAGTAGTTACCAGGGGCAGGCAGGAGAGGGGGGAAGAGGTAGTCATTATATAGGGGACACATAGCTTTCGTTGAGGGTTGTGGGAAAACTTGAAAATACATAATGGTGACAGTTGAACAACATGATGAACATAGTTATTGTCCCTTAATTGTACATGTGAAATAAATTGAAATGGCACGTTTTATCACATATATATTTACCACAATTAGAAAATAAAAAGGTCAAAAAGGATTTACATACTAACGCGCTTCTTGCTAGTTGAGCGAGAAGGTGGGCTTTCATTTTTTGCTTTATATGCTTCAGTGTTTGACTTTTGTGAGCATTTTTACCTTTTGTAATTTAAAAAAAAACAAGAAGTCTTTATCATAAAACAGGGTTGGGGAGAATGACAGTGGTTTAAGAGTTCACAGGAGGGAGAACTCACTCTGCTGAGGCAGACTCTTCCCAAGAACAGTGAGCAGGTTGTGAATGGAACGGCGGGGTGGGGGTTCAGCTGGTGTGGATGGGGACCAGCAACGTAGCCAAGGAGGAGCATGAGTAAAAGGCACAGTGAAGAAGGGAGAGCTAGAGCCATGTATGGGAAAGACTGATTGGTTGGAGCATAGGATCGTAGAGGGAGATGGTGAGAAATAAGGCTGAGAGGTTGGGGCCTTCAGTACCAGGCCAAGTGTCCTGCATGTGATGGGGACATGAGTCAAGCATGGTAGAAAGCTTCAGTTGGAGGGGTTGAGGGAGGAAGCAGGAGGGCCTGGGAGGACCTCGTCAGGCAGTTGGGCTGAGTCGGGGTAGAGCAGTGGAATGTAAAGGAAGAGACGCGTAGGACAGGGGGTCAAAGGGGAGAATTTGGCAGCTCTTTGGTGACTACTGGATGTGGAAGGAAGAGGCAAGAATGACAGTCTTGAAACCTGGATGACCAGGAGAATGGCTGTGCCAGCCATAGCGCTCCCAGGTCAGGAGGGGAAGGTGATTTGTTGGGCCCACCATGCTCATTTTAAGGTGCCCATGGAGCATCCAGCTGGGAATGACTTGGAGTTCTGGAGAGGGAAGGTCAGGGCTATGAACAGATTTGAGCTGACCAACAAAATGATGGTTGAAGTGTTAGGAGTGGATGAAATGACTCCGGCCTGTATCTTTCCCGCAAAGCTTTGGATTTCCATCTCCTAGGATAGTCTTCAAGGGACCCTGGGTGATGCAACCTATTCCATATTCACTGGGAGTAACATGAATAATTTCTTACATTTGTATAGTCTGTCACAGTTGATACAGTACTTTCACATTTATTTAATCATTGTTATTTTCACATGTCCATTTAATGACTCAGGAAATCAAGGCTCAGAGAATTTCAGGGACTAGTCAAGGTCACAAAAGCAGTCATGCCATAGATGGCAGATTTGTGTCTTAAGCTAGATGTTCTCTTTAACCAAGTCATTGTATTTGATATTACAACAATGCAGTTTTTCTTGTCGGGGGAAAAATATCTGAAATACTCTACAACCTTAAAAGATCTAAAACTCCGTTACTAAAAAAGAAAGGTTTGAAATTCACCCTTATTGGAACCTGCCTGACACATGTCAAAACAAGAAGTCTCTGTTGCCAGACAGTTGAGAGATGTTGGGTTCCCTGTGAACAGCTGGTCATCTTTAGGTTGAAAGGGAGATGTTTTGGAATCTCAGTTATTGAGCCAATAAATGTCTTCTAATTGTTGTTTAATTTTTTCCCTTTTTTTGTAAAGATGTAGCCATAGCTGTAACATACAACCATGACGGGTCATACAGCATGCAGGTGAGCTCTTGGTTTTATTATATAGCTCAGACCTAAATCTGATCTCTCTCATGCTAAGTAGCGTATTTTTTTCACTTTCTGGTTTCTCTTAAGCTGTTGATTATTACGACCGTAGCTAGGAGAATGTCTTGTGCTTTTATTTCAGGCCAGTTTGGGGAAATTACCTCATATACAGTTTCTAATTCAGTTTGACTTCTCAATTGGGCTGTGATTCCCTTAAGAATAAAAACTTGGCAAAAGTGATAGTCTTGAATCAGACACCTAACAAGCCCTTAAAGTATGTGTGTGAACTTACATCTAAAGCAGCAGTTCTCAAACATTTTGGTCCCAGGACCCGTTTACACTCTTAAAAATTATTGAGGCCCCCAAGGAGATTTTATTTATGGAAGTTATAAATATTAATATTTACCGTGTTGAAAAATTGAACTGAGAAAACTGTAAAGCATAAGACTATACAATATGCAAGCATGCATTCTGTTAGCCTTCAGCGCAATAACATTATCACATGTCCTGCAGCTTCTGGAAAATTCGATTGTACACGCATGAGAGAATGGGGGTTGAAAGGACAAATAACATCTTAGTATTATTATGAAAATACTTTTCATTTCATGGACCCCTTGAAGGATCTGGGGAGCACTAAAGGATCCACAGATCACACTTTGAGGACTTGTCTAAAATTTTATGATATCCTTCAATTAAAAGATGTTCGTTACACTGGTGAAATGAAATGCTAAAAAGGTTAAAACACAATGTGGGAACTCAACCAAATTCCTATAGTGAGGTACAAACTCAGGGACTAGAATAAATCTTATTGTATATGAGCCAAGAGAGTTGAAATCCTGCAAAATGAGTTTATCGGTGGTATGCTTTACACCACCCAGCACTTTGAGACACATTCATTTTCTTTCTCTGAGATTCAGAAAAACAAATGGAAGTTAGCCTCCTTTAGTGTAAGAGTTTTAGTTGGTGTTGTGCTTCTGGTCCAGGGATCCCTTTCTTGTTCCCTGGTAAATGGTGAAGCCAGGCGCAGACCTGTTCTGTCTGTGCATGGAGCTACATTCGCACGTGTAGAGTGTGCTTTCGTAAAGCTCTGCACGCAGCTGTGCCCAGTCCAACCTTTATGTCCTAAGGATTCCACAAACACTCAGATGGCTGGGTTAGCAGGTTACAAAGAAGAGTAAAATACCCTGTTTAACTTCAAACAGACAAGAACTAGTGTATAAAGACTGCCGTGTGTGACCTGTTACACCGTAGGCTATAGTTGAGAAGATGGCCGCAGGACCTCTATGCTACCATCATGGGAATCGAAATGAAAAAAAAATAGAGAAGACGTGAGAGAATTTTTTTTTTTTGAGTGCATATGCGAGAAAATATTCTTTAAAAGGGAAAGATTTCATGTCCTTTTGTTGGCTTCTCTGGAAGGTTAAGTGTGGAATCTGTTTTTTGGCACTCTCTTTCCTGAAGTGAGAGGACATGTGGTCAGTCTCCAGCTAATGTATTTCTTCACTGAAACCAGTAAATTGCATCTACACATTGGTGAAGAAAAGAAACGCCCTCTAATTCTGTGCTTCTGGCTGTGTCCCGGGAGAACCAAGGTCAACTCTGGAAACTCAGAAATGAGCGCTAGTATGTAATATACTCAACTGAGTGTTGATAATTCTGCCGAATTTTATTTGTACTTTTATTGCTCTTCTTTCTATTTCTTAAATGAACTTTTCTCCAAAACATTATGGTGCTACGGATATATTATGTAACTTTTTTCCTTTTAATTATTTACTGATGTTTCTACGTAGGGTATTGCATTTAGGAATCGTAGGGGAAAGTTTCTATGTGACTTTTATTTTTAATATTTTTACATTTTATGTCTTGAAACTACTAATAGTGAAGAATTGATTCTGATTTTATTAATTCTGTAGAGTTGTGCATTTATTTGAAGCATCTTATTTTTCTGTTTTTTCAGATTGATGATAAAACTTTCCGAGTCCTTGGTGATCTTCATAGTGAGGGAGACTGCACCTACCTGAAATGTTCTGTTGATGGAGTTGCTAGTAAAGCTAAGCTGATTATCCTGGAGAACACCACTTACCTGTTTCCTCAGGTGATGCCTCTTCTCTGTAATGTCACTGTCGGGGCTTGGGACAAGGGCTTCCGCTACAGGAGATTAGAAGGCTCCAGCCTGCTCTGACCACTGCTGCGACCTTTCTTTCTCAGTTTCCCTCTCCCTCTGAGATTCTTTGCCACAGTCCTGCCTTCTCTATTTCTCCATTTGCCCCTTCTGTTCACACAGATTCTCACTGACAGATACGCATCCGTTTTCTTCTTTTAACTCCGTCAGAGTGTCTCCCCTGCCCTGTAGAGGGCATTGGCTCAGAGCTTTGATACCTGACCACTTTTCTGCAACCACCACCCTCCTGACCCTGGGAACCCTGGTGACCTAGGAGGAAGGGACCGCTGGGTGAGGGTCTGAAGCAGGTGTTCCTTGTGAGGAAGGTGGGCAGCAGGAAGGCAGGTGGGGCTAGTGGTGGTCTCCTGGCCGTGAAAAACGTCAAGGCGGGCTTTGTGTGGGTTTGGTTAGGAGGCGTTTCCTAACCATCATTCTCAGTTAGGACCCCGCTCCTCAACGAGTCCTCAGCTTCTGCCCGGGCGGAAGAAGAGTGGATTATAAAGTATACTGTGGCCTCTCTGGGGTCTTCTCACATTCGAGAACTCTCTTACAGATGAGACTGCTTTCTGGTGAGAAGCCTTTAGTATTTCAATAATTAAACTTCTGTATATGGAGTCTAGGATGACCCCACTTCATAAAGAATTTCTTTCCATAGTCAATCATGCAGTATAAAACAAAAACACCAAACCCGTTGCCGTCGAGTCAATTCCAACTCATAGTGACCCTACAGGACAGAGTAGAACTGCCCCTGTAGGGTTTCCAAGGAGCGGCTGGTGGAGTTGAACTGCTGACCTTTTGCTTAGCAGCTGAACTCTTAGCCACTGAGCCACCAGGGCTCCTGAGAGACAGTCTAGTGGAGTGGTAAAGAGCATGGGTTCCGGAATGAAGCTGCATTAGAACAAATCCAGGCCCTGCTGTTTATCAGCCGCGTGACCTTGGGCATGTTAAACTCTGCTTCGGCTCCCCCATCTGTAAACTGGAACAGTAACAGTCCCTCCTGCTAGAGTTGTTGTGATGGTTTAATGACATGGTCAGTATAAGTGTTAAGAATAATTCCTGCCGCAAACTAAGCACTTGGTAAATGATCGCTGCGGTGTTGTTACTAATACCATGATAGTGAGGACGCTGCTAAATATGGCTTCTAGCAGTGGGCTGCCTGTTACATACAGCTGTACACATCATTTCCTCTCCTGCCCTCTGAGGCATGTTCACTGTTAACTCCTTTACGGTGAGAAACCAAGACTGAGACGGGGTTATAATCTGCTCAAGGTCACAAAGCTAGATTAGAACCCTGGTGGCACACATGGTTAATGCATTCGGCTGCTGACTGAAAGGTTGGAGATTCAAGTCTGCCCAGAGGCACCTCAGAAGAAAAGCCTGGCCATCTACTTCCAAACAAATCAACCATTGAAAACCCTTTGGAGCATAGTTCTACCCTGACAGACATGAGCTCGCCATGAGTTGGAATCAACAACAACTGTTTTTTTAGTTGTTGTTGTTTAATATTTAACAGATTGTTGGAAGGCAATCATTCCCCTCAGCCATATCAGTAAAAATTCAGTGAGAAGATCTTGATTCCATTGTAGGTGTGTTTTCTGTTTACAGGAAGGAAGTGTTCAGATTGACTTTCCAGTACCCAAATACATGTCCTCAGTGAGTGCTGAGGGAACTCAAGGAGGCACCGTAGCTCCTATGACTGGAATTATTGAAAAGGTAATCACATGACGTGTAACAAGATACCCAATAAGGGTTAATGTCTTTGTTGAACTTTGTCATATATATCCTTTTTTCCTCCCTAAATCTTGCTTATGGGTAAGCATCCATTTCAAGAAAAAAGGAAAATCTATTATAGATTCAATTTCTGTATTACAGTCTTCAGTGAAAATACCACTTCACCTAATTTATGATAAAGACTGCTGTTTTTGAAGGTGGGAATTTCCATCAAGTTGACAAATAATCCAAACTGTCTTTTTATGTTTAAAATGTAGCATTCACCTACCATTATCCAAAAAGGCTGGTTTTTAATTTTAAATTTAATAGCAAATGATTTTATCATAAAATGATATTTTCTGTAATGTACATAATTGCATCTGTGTTAAAATGAAATTTGAAAGGCCTGTATTGGTAAAGAACAGCATGATTTTGTTGGGGACGCCATATATTTTCAGAGTTGAGATCCATACTGACGTGATTTCAGATGGTGATAGATCACCTTTTATATACTTGAATATAGTAGAATCCCCTCAAATGCATTTAAGTCATAAAAATCCAAACATATATTCTTGGTACCAAAACGGGGGGGGTACTATTTAAATAATGTGGGTGGCATCACCCAGTATTTCCCTCTGGGAATATTTGCCCCATAGGGGGACGGGGTAGGAGGCCTGGATCTGCCTTTAACTCATGCGATCTCGTTCCCACAGACCTCTCCTAGGACAGGCGTCTGCTACACGGGGTACCGGTCTTAGGTTTAAAGAGGCACATTTTGCCCATGACTGGCCCCTAACCCCGGACTCTTGTTGCATCCGGCTCTGCTAGAGCATCACCCAGCATTGGGTGATTTACGGGCTCTCAGGGGTACCTCCGACTTGTCACGGTCTTGGCAGCACGTACCCTGACTTTAGAACCAATTCTGCTACGGGACGTAAGAGTTTCAGAAATTCCCTCGTGACTGTGTTAGCCAGTGAGACAGTAAGACTATCCGAACGTAAGCTCGTTTATTTGTGAAAAGGAAAATGGAGACGTTTTTCTGGGGTTGCCGATAAGTTTAATTCTCTCATGTGAAGACTGTCTACACATTTACTGCTTGGGGCCCTGAAGACTTGAAACACTGTCCTACACAGCACAGAACTAGAGACCAGTCAAGAGTCTCATCCCTCCACCCTGCCTGTAAACCGAAGGTAAAAAAACCGAACCCGTTCCCGTCGAGTTGATTCTGACTCATAGCGACCCTGTGGGACAAGGCAGAGCTGCCCCTCAGGGCTCCCATGGGGGTCCCTGCCTGTAGTGAAGACATTTAAGCGTATTACTCCTTCCTGGTGGTGGTAGGAGCCCTGGTGGCACAGAGGTTAAGAGCTCAGCTGCCATCCAAAAGGCGGGAAGTTTGACTCCACCAGCCACTCCTTGGAAACCCTATGGAGCCATTCTGCTCTGTCCTGTAGGGTCACTATGAGTCGGAATTGACTCGGTGGCAACAGATTTGGTTTGGTGTTTTCAGTCTGTTGGTGGTGTATCCTGACTGTATTTTCGTGAAGAATCAAAAGGCTCCCGAGATATCTAAAGCAGATTCACCTGACTCGAGCAAACTTGGATGGTTTGGGGGTGGGAACGGGAGCTGAGCGGTGCCCCCCGCCGACAGCAGTGCCAGCAGATTCATCTGATTCAAGCAAACTTAGATGGTTTGGGGGTGGGAAC